ACACCACCTAGAGAGAAGGCCTCCTCATGGCCTCCTCTCCCTCTATGAAACGTCATCAGAGTCGGATGGCGCTAACTCGGCTATTGGGCCTGAGACCGACCTTCGACGCGCTGATTGGACGCGAGCCCCAGCCGAACACTGACGCAGCATTCGTGCCCACTCTCACGCCTCGGCCGATCTACGGTGACGCGTGCGGAGGCCTTCTATCTAGGCGGTGTTGCCGAGACGCGCGTGATCGATAAAGGACCGCCAAACAGGTGTACGCCTCACTTGTTGCCTTTATTTTGAAACATATACGCGGGTCCCAATCTTATCTCCTCGTGGTACAACGTTATCAGCGGTCTCACTCATCAGGCGATTCGGCGGAGATAGGCGCACAAACACGGGCACCTGGCTATCTAGATAAGCGAGCCAAACGACAATCGCTGTTCTCACCAGTCTCCCGAAAGTGTGATAAAGCGCGCTGATGCCCCCAACAAAACATCCCGCTCCGCCGCACTTTGCAGGTGACGTTCTCAGGAAAAACGGCTTGCAAGATGACTCCCGAACAACTTGCCAAAACATCCATTCGAGGCGTCTCCGTACGTATCTCTAAAAATACAAAACGCTCGTTGTCACGTCGAAAATAAACCATAGCTGCGCGAAGCAGTTCTTACGAAATGTAATAGACAAACACAAATTGTTTTTTTGTTGTTGTTGTTGTTGTTTTTTTGTCTGGGGGGGGGGGGGGGGGGGGGGGGTGCGCGCTTGAGGCGCGCAAAAAAGCATATGGGGTGCAGGCGAGCTGGTGAATATTAACCATGTTGACAGGACGACGTCGTCCTGTGTCTTTTCTGTCCCTTCTACGTTTTGATGTTTCTTCTCTACCCTAGTCTCAGGATCATTCGACATGGCTAATTAAGTGGTCTTAAATTCTCCAAGTATCTTAATTCATCCATAAAATGATAGGTGTAGTGGCGTAACAACGGGGTGAACATTCCTAGATTGCCTTTTACAAGCTGTTGCTTTTTTTGTTTGTTTTTTTAGTAGTACGTTCACGGATGTATCTGAAGTGCAGGCGCGAGCATTTCAAGCGCTTTCGACACTGTAGTCTCGAAACGATCTGTCTTGGCTGTGGGACGTCTAGACGAAGTGCGGCGGAGACAACCTCGCGGTCAATGCTCCCGATTGCGTTCAATTGACTGGACTTAGGGGCTTTGCCCTCCGGCAAAACAACTTGGCTGCAAAAACGGCTCACTCCTAGGGCCCGGTCACACACTTGCGTTTGCTTACGACCGAGTTCTTGCGATCTCCTGCGACGAGAGAACACACTGGCGCCATCTACGAGCTGACCCTGCAACTGCGTTTCACTGAAACGAAGGCTGCACTTGCGAGATCAAATGTACGTACCGTACTATCTATGACAAATTGTCGTTTATAGCATTGTCAAACGTTTTTCCAGCCAAGAAAAAAAGAATAATGCGCGAAAAAAGACAAAAATATACAGAAATGCCGAATGTTCCACGGCTATCCGATAGATGGCGCCAGTGTGTTCTCTTGTCGTAAGCAGTCGTAAGTGTGTGAACATGCCTTTAGTCAGTCTCCAGTACTGATAAACAAACAAAAAGAAATGTCGGGTAACACAGTCACGAGTGCGACGCAACATCCGCGCACTTGTTTCCTTCCCACTGCCACAAATGAAAAGGCAGCTGGCTGACGAAGTGAGCGGGGACAGCAGTCTACCACAGGTGCCGAGGGATCTGCATGCCATGGTCTTGCAAAAAGCGCAAGAGAACGACGGCCTGTCGATCATTTTCTGCTATGAATCCCTGAGAATTGCGAAAGACAGGAAGGCATTTTCGTGATACTGCGAAGCTGGCTTCGCCGATTCGAAATGACTGTTGTCACATCAAGAAAAACAAAGGCTGACTTCTGCGCATGACTCACACGCTTCGCGAAATAGTGCTTACTATACTTAGTAATCGCAAAAAAAAAGGACGGTTTATTATGTTTGAAAACTGTACATTTTGGTCGGGAATTTTGATCCATGTCCCTCTCGTTCTGCTCACGTGACAAGCGTGAAAACCTCGAACAGGCAACAGACCTCGTGAAAGTACACGAAATTTCACCAGTTCCTCTAACAGGTTTAAGCTGCGCTAGTTGGTTCATACTTCAGGTAAGGCCAGCTGAACTAGAAGAAACATACATACACTAAGAAAAGACCATACACACCACTGAACTAACAACTACACGAAATGCCTGTCGCCTGTCGCCCTCACCAAAAGTAGTGTTCCACAGAAACGTACTCCAGGAAATTACTTTTTAAATGGAATTTGATTACAAATACCTAGCTACACGAATGCTCTTTTTCTTTTTTTTCTTTTTTTTTTTGTTGTTTCATTGCCTCGCGTTTATATTATGGCAGGGTGTGTTCCCCAAACTAGTTACCCTTCCTGCTTCTGACCTGGAGTGTGTTTAAATAACGAATATATAAAATAATAATTAGATTATGTGGCTCCAAAAGTAGTTAGTTACTATTAGACCGTACTGCCACACAAAAAGTAATAATTACAATTATGCGTTACTTTTGGAGAGTAATGTAATTTCGCCATTCAACTTGAGCGATATCCGTCTTATTGTACTTCTCCACAAATGGATGCATTATGCAGTGCTTTACATTCGTCTCATTCGGCGCTTATTTCTTTTATAAACTCTGTATATTGTAGCATAGGAAGCCGAGGTCTAACTAATAAAAAAATCTGGCTTTTTTTTTTTTTTTTTTAGTTTGCTAGATTACTAAGGTTGTTGGAGCACTGCTATATCCATGTCAGACGCGCAAAACGAAGCTTTGTTCGCCCCTCAGTAGTTGTAACTGAAATGCAATGTTTTAATTACCAACAATCTAGTTTTAGATCAAATTAAATAAGTGGCAAATGCAAATCACTGCGCAAGTATTCAAATTAGAGTGATTAAGTAAGAATACATCCAACGAGCCGCCGAGCCAATCAATGACGCGTCGACGACCGCAGCACCCGCGAGTGAATCACTCAAAAAAACACGACAGGGGTAGCGTTTCCAGTTCGCTAACCTTTCGATCGAAACCCCTACCCCGCAGAGAGCGCGCGCGCCAAGAAACGGCGACTACGACGCAGTGCAACCAACCAAGAAACCACGCACGAGCCAATCCCGAATTGGAGATTAGCCGCGGAGAGGGATTAACTATTAAAGAAGAAAGAGAGCTGCATTCTTAACGACCGACTGGAGAAGACGGCATGAAGATAGCAGAAGAGGCACTTGACTACATTCCAAAATGTAGTCAATATTATACTTCCACAGGTTTGCTGGGTCTCGCGGCGACGAAACGCTTGTTGCCCAATGATTTACGCGATTAACGCATAAACATACAATTTTAAAAATACTGGCGCCTTTAAATTTACGGTTAAAGGTTGAGCGTGTTGGTACATACTTGTAAATATATCAGCTTGAACTTCAGAAAAATGCTTAAAACACGAAGAAAGAAAGGGCAGGAGAGAACAAACAGCTGTTTGTCCTCTCCTGGCCTTCCTTTCTTCGTGTTTAAGTACTTTTCTAAAGTTCGAGCTGATATATTTACAAGCCTTTAGATTTGTTTTGCAGCAAGCGAATGGCAATCGTAAACTGCGATTCACATATAACTTCAATTGTTTTAGCTTTTTCAACATTTCACAGCAATGCAAGATTACGTGGAGTTCGTGCATCAGCTACATTCCGTACATTGCAAGACCGACGGTCGACATACGCAGAAAAACAAATGACAAAATAGCAGACGACAGCACTTGGTGGTTTTCTGGCGGATCAAAGCAGCTGGAACAAGAGCCGATTCAGCACCGAACAGGTGGCCCCAAAAGTTGTGAAAAAGGCTATGGCTGTGTGGCTGTGACGCATTTATCTCTTTACAGAGAGTTAAAATAATGATGACAAAGCCAACCTAGACACGGGTTACCGGAATCAGACAGACTAGTTGGCAGCAGCTGGTCACAAAAACGGGGAAGGAGTTAATTTCCAAGTTTACTCCGTTCTCTAGGGGAGTTACGTATGCCAAGATGGGTCTAAACGGAGTAAAGCTAGAGTAAGAAAAAGAAAAAGGAGTAAAACAGGAGACGTTCGTGATCATAATAATTCTAACAAAATGGAGATCAACACATGCCACACAAGTACACGCAGACAGCAAAACAGCCCGATACCACAACAAAACGCGAGGCAAATGTGATAAAAACAAAGTAGAAAGGAACTTTATTAAAAGGCGCAACGGACGAGAACGGAATAGATAGCCAGCGCTACGCGAAAGAACCAGCTGCGAGCCGTCTTTATGTTGAGTTTCTTTTTTAGAGGCGGCCAACTCTACGCGCCAATAACGAAGATAAAACGAAAAGAAAAGGCAAGCGCCACAAACTGCGTTTTGGCGGCCTTCGGCAACCGCGGAGCGAGAGAACGCGCGAAGCGACAACGACCGCGCAGGGCCAAAGCGAATCAAAACACACGAGCTGAAACGAGGAGGCAACTGACTCAGCCCTGTTGGCCCTATGAACCCACATCAAAGGAGAAAAAAACTAGGGGGGCGTATGAAGCAACGCGCTCCTGGGAAACGCAAACACGGCGCCATAAAAGTAGTCGTCAGCAAGATGTCGCACCACGAGCCCCCACGCCACAAAAGCGCGCGCGAATAAAAATAAAAAAAGGGAAACCAGAGCTCAGCTGTGCATAATGTAAACAAACTGACGGCTCGGCTTAGCTGGTACACCACATTCCGATGGAAACTTTAGTCGCCCCCGCGGGCTGTCACGTATTACCGCATTCTCCGTGTCAGCTTCAGCAGCGAAAATTATGGCAGCATAATTAAAACAAAGGAGTGACCGCGAGGCTAATGAGCGATTAATTAACGGGATGAGATAATGACGGAAACGAACTCGACTGTAATAAAATTACGAGGGTTTAAAGGGGCAATAAAAAAAAAGATAAAGAAAAAACGTTGAGTCGTTTACCGTTCAGACAGTCGTCGTTGACGATCTGCTGTGGCGTGCCCGACATGGCCCCGAAGTTCGGCGGCACGTAGGCAACGTGCACCAAGTGCAGTCCCAGGAAACGTGAGCGGCTGGGCAGGGGCGCTAGCGGAGGCTTCGTAGGCGGCCTCGAATGCTGCTGCGTTGTTCTGCGGCCCCGCTTTTTCCCCGACGCCTCGCTGGTCTTGTCACGACAAGTTCCTGGGCGAACTCAACAACGCGCAAGGAGCCGCGTCGGTGGCGTAGTGAGCTGTCGGATGGGTTCGCATGGAGAGCGGAGCCTCCCTTCTAAAGACAACAATGGAGAAACGGTTTCGGAGAAAAGGACCCCGAAGGAAAACAGCAGTGCAACACCTCGCTCTCGACGTTCCGATGGGCCCACAACGCTAACAAGAGCATATGATGCGCGGCGGCACGGCGCAGCGAACAGCAACACAGAGCGATCACCCGATAAAACGTCAGCGTCGCCAGCGAGCGTTTGTTTTGGAACGGGTGGCGCCGCCACGCGCCACTTCGCGGAGAAGTCGCTCGAGCACTTTGAGCGGATATAGTCAAGCCGAGTCAAGCCCGTCAAAAAAAAATTTGACGACGCAAGTCACAAGCGGCTCTTCGCTACTGCTTTGACCATGTTTTGACCAGTGGTTTTTGACTTTTGACGATTTCGCCGACAACCATGGCTACTATCGATCTGCAGACGAGGTGGTCTTGAATACTGGTCTTGGAGAATCCATGATAAGAGTAGTCTATGGAAGAAGCAACGCACTCGGAAGATATGATTCGTTTAAATTAAAACAAATGGTCAACGACAAAGTGCCTCAATGTAATTACAACATATTTTGTACTACTTGTGAGAAATAAATGTCAGGTATATTTTCACTCAGGAGCATAAAATTTGAAGTGCTCTGTCATCACTATCATCAATCTTGAAACCCATTGCGTCGTGAGGTTACGGTTCTGGTTTCGGTTTCGGCTGAGTGTGCTTTGTCCCGTGTGATTTTAGGTTATCGTGAACAAACTCATCACCGTTCAAAAGCCTACGTGGCTTAGCTCACGACAACTTCGCTAGCCCAATCCGCTCGGTATTTCCGAGTACGTGCGCAGACGCATGTGCAGGCAATCCGCGCACCTATTTGACGACGTTATCGGCTGCCAAGAATAGCCGGCGAGTTTCCAGCGCCTATATCAGCGACCCCGGCCAGTTCGTCAGTGCGACAACATCACCTCGAAGGACGCGTGAAAATATAGCAGCCCAAACAAAAACACCAACGAACGTGCCAGAAAGGCGAAAAAATAACACGTTATCGCTAATCTGGTTGAAACGAGTAGCGAGGGTGATCCGATGTCACACTTATTGGATAATATGAAAAACGGCAAAGGGGGGGGGGGGGGGGGCGTCGCTTCCTTCGGTCGACGTAAAAAAGAATATGTGCCAACAAGTGTATCGTCGGTAAAGTAGACAAAACATATCTATTTTTTTAGCTACAGCGGTGCAATTTCATTGTTGTTTCCAGCTGGTCCGTCCACTGTCGAACAGTATCCCAGAAAACATAACCGAATTTTAGAGTCGCCATAATTTTTGGTCTGGTAAAAGTACTTGAATTAAAAGTGTCAGCCTCGCAATCTCCCCATCCCAGTAAATTGTTTGAGACAAGCACCGAGACACCTGCAAGCTCGCCTAAAACAAAAAACAACAAAAAAACAGTTTTTTTTTTTTTTTTTGTGGACAGTCGCACATAACCTGAGTTTGGTGCATTGCCCTATTAACGAAAATTAAAAAAAAAGTACATTATAGGATAGCGTGCCGGTGGGCCAAGGATCCCAAATGCTACTGCATTTATACAGATTCCTTTGGTAGAAACTAGAGAGAAGATATAGTTTCTTTAGGTGTGGTACTGTTAGATACTTTATTTCGTCTGAACAGTTGAGCATGCATTTGTCCAGTTGACCCAGGTTATTAACAATAGCAAGTGCCACCTAGGCACAGTAAAGACCCTCGATGCATTTGTCTTACAACCTACAGACAAATTAATGCGAGGGTGCATGCCCCGTGCTTTCCTTGGAGGCACAGCACTAAACCAATGATATCAAGCCGCCATATTGTTCTTTCAGCACTCGTTTGTGGCACGTATCTCGCCCGTTCGCCCGGTGCTTGCAAGAAACACGGAGCAGGACTTTCAAGGCACAGACAGAGCCAGCACCATCTCTAGGCCACTTCTGGAAACCTCCACTACTCTAGCATGGCCGTGACACCAGCCTTCCACCAGATACGCGCAATGCCCTTTCGCACGTATACTATCAGCAGCCACATGATCCGCCTGTTCCCATAAGCAGCCTCGTTCGTACGAGCATATGTTTACTCTCGCATATATGGAGTCATCATCGAGGTCGACCGACGTTTCCGCCATTTCTCCCCAGCGGGCACATTCTCGTATTTGTATGTGCATACGTCCACATCTACTTACTCCTGCGAACAAGACTTGTGCCTATCTGCAAGCTCACACTCGCATCTACAAGGTGTTTCTAAGCGCTATTGGGAAGTAAGAAAAGTTAGTATAAATACACCAGTGAACTGAGTGCAATGAAACTTTTCACAGAGGTGTCCTTGGGTGGTTTTGGGAAGAAAAAATAAATAAGCAAAAATTATTTTTCCTATGCACAGGGAGGAAAATGGCAAAAACCTTCTAACAGTTGCTGCTATAATCGCAGATGCCACAACATAAAGCAAAAACGTGAAAGCTTCTTTGAGTTGAATATCCGAAAGCAGATTCGAGCGTATGGGGCATATGCACCTGCGAGTGGCAGTGTTGACCACACAGCTTTTGCCGTCACCCTCCCTGTGCACAGAAAAAAAGACAGCGTTGTGAAAAGTTTAGTATTGTACGAATGTTCGAATAGTAGCTTCGAATAATACGCTATTCGATATTTGCCTCGAGAACAAATGCGATACTCTTACTTTTCGAAGTATTCGTCGCTGCGGGTTTAGCGCCGTCGAGTGCGCTTTTCGCCGAGCACCTGAGTACTGCGGGGAAACAATACCCGCGGATGTCGTGGGCATTGCTTTCCCGCAGTGCACAGCTGCTCAGTGAGAAGCACACTCACTGGGGCCACCCCACATCGATTATGCAAGCGTATATGTTAGGGTGCGATCTCTTGACAGCCCGCGTTTATCACACGTGCTTAATATTTTTTTTCTGTTAAATTTGAAATAGAAGGAAGAATATTTGCGTATAGCAAAAAGATTTACAAACCCCCTCGATTAAGATAGCTGCAATAAATCTGCCGTTCACGTGCCACAGTTCATACGTACGGTCATATTGAAATTAACAGCCTAGAAGTGGACAAGCAGAAGGCTGGAAACAATCTCCACGAGTTCAGCTGAATCTTAGTTCAGGCATGGTGCGTGGTAGAGAAAGACTGCGAGAAACTATTCCATATTTGATTTGAAAATATTCTGCCAAAACCACTACTCGCTTCGAAGTCAAGAACCGCTATTCGCACATGCCTAGAAAAGTTTCGATGCACTCCATTCATCATTTTATTTATATGAATTCTTTTTTTACTCCAGAATAGTGCTCAGACATGTATGTGCTCATATTCATCCATTCATTGTCATAAGCTATTTGTATGTGCATACCGCATGGGAAGCTTTCAGGAGCAGTACTGCCCTGGACAGTTGATTCCTGCCTGATATCGTCCACACCCCAGTTGACTGTACATTCGTATTCAAGTATAAATAACCGACGGCCCTGAGACCACTCCGCATCTGCACACTTCACCACGCAACAGATTTTCTGTTCCAAAACAAGTGTGTGCAAATCAAACAGGTGGGAAGCCTATACCTACAAAAGAGAAAACAGTGCACATGTTGCGGAATACTTGGCAAAACATGCCAAGAAAGCTCGTTTAAAGCCAGTAAAACGTGTCAATAAAATGAGAACGAACTCGACGACGGCAAAACCACTGCATCGCAAACCCGTAATATTTAAGGTGTCCTTTATATACAAAGAATTTGGGGAAAGCTGGAAAAGGCTGCATCTCAGATTGCCAGGCAGCAGAAACGCCCTGTGGCATCTCGCGTTAAAGTTTGAACATGCACAACTCGCCGCTAGTGTTGTCTGGAAGTATGAGCGACTTCTGCAAAGACTGCACATACACACAGCTAGGGAAGAAATATCACTTTGGTCGAACAATTCACGCAAAGGGGCTTATGTCGAGCAACAGTGTTCCCAGACTCACAGGCATGTCTGTTGTCTAGTGTGCATAATGCTCTCGTCCCACTAGAATGACAAATGACAACTACCGACACCTACAAGTCTCAGGCCCATGCTGCATGCACGCGACGGTATCTTTGGCAGGCTTGCAATCTCTTGAGGCTTGTGACGTAAGCGTGAGAGATTGCGAGTCAGCCAACAGTACCTTCACATGCCCATTACACCTGCTTGAGGCTCGTCAATGTCGGTCGTGGCTGCTTGTTGCTCTAGTGGGACTAGGGCATAACGAAGGTGCAACTTGAAAGGAACGACCAAGAAGTAGGCCGCAAGAAAGCGCACGCATAAAATAAGATAATGGCAGAGCCAAGAGCTGACAGACCTTTACATGAACCGGTACCATCTTACCCATGCCACTGCTTGTTAGAGTCACATGGACGCGCAGTGACCTCGCAAGTTTGAAAACGGTCGCACGTCTCCAACTGCCCGACGGAACTAGCACAGCGGTGCAGCGTACGAAGGTCCCGATTCAGCAGACGGCCGTCACAACTTCGCAGAAGACCAACATAAAAAGTGCTCTCTCATAAAGTTCTAGCAGTTCATCCAGCAAACCACTTCAAGAGGCATTTGTGTAGTAGGCTACGTAGCAGATGGCAACATGGCAGACGGCTACGTAGCAGACGGCTACATAGCAGACAGCTACATAGCAGACGGCTACATAGCAAACGATTAAATAGCAGACGGCTACGTAGCAGGCGGCTACATAACAGACAGCTACGTAACAGAAAGCAGCATAGCAGACGGCTACATAGCAGATGTCTTCATAGCAGACGGCTACATAACAGACGGCAGTATAGCAGACGGCTACACAGCAGACGGCTACACAGCAGACGGCTACAGAGCAGACAGCTACACAGCAGACGGCTACCTAGCAGACGGTTACCTAGCAGACGGCTACCTAGCAGACAGCTAAGTAGAAGATGGCTGCAAAGCAGACAAGATGGCTGCAGAGCAGACAGCTACATAATTGGACTTTGTAGCCCGTAGCCACAGTCCACAATGGTCTAGAAAATGACAGCCGAGCAGGTAAATGGCACACCCACTGCACAAGCTCTCCGGAAGCCAAAGAAAAATAAAAGAGCAGAAAGAGCCCGTTCCAAATATGGATGTGCCTTCAAACCCAGACTCTGTTCACACACTCCATAAAGTCTGCTTGGAACTTGAGACTAATGCGGACATTTCTTCGGCAGCACATCAGAGAGCACACACCATCACCCACCGAATTCCCCCGCGGTTCTCTCAAACCAAACGAGACATCTCAAAGGGAAGTGCAACGGCGGCCATGTCAAAACAATGCCGTCGTCTGCAACGGGGGCTATGAACTGCGAATTGGAACACCTAGCAAAGCCGTCAGGTCGGACTAGGGCCGGGACAGTGCTCCGACAGACGTTGCAACTGCGACACGAGCCTCTGCTGCCTCTCCATGTGCGCTTCATACAAAAGGCAGTTGATCTGGTGGTAGTGCGGGTTTTCGGATGAATTCAGGATGCTGGGTCGGTTGAGACGTGAGGATCCCGCCGCCGTGTTGTCTGCAGACGATCCCGCTGATGAACTTGTCTGCTCGAGGAAAAGGAAAGCGTCTGCTTCAGAAAACGCTGTCGATTGTAGAAACCACGAGCAAAAGACACTGAAGCATCGCATTTCGGAATTCCTAGTTTACTCCGAGGGAAACTGAACAAATACCACAGAAATCACATATTTACTGAGAAATACAAGCAAGTCTAAACTCAAACCAGAGGATTAGCGCGGAGGACTGCGACATCAGTGCGGGAGTTACTTTCTACTAGTATGCACTTAAAGTTTCAATGCATTTTTCCTGTTCCAGTAGGCATAATTAGTATGTTTAATTTATTCCATCAATTTTTGTCACGAATATGTGCCTTGGATGGCACAGAACTTGGCAAATATTTTCGATTCTATGTTGCCATCACACATACGTAACTAAGCAAAAGAGAGTTGAAGAAGCTTCAAATACCCAATTCTCAGCCAATAATTTTTGTAAAAAAAAAAAAAAAAACATGTTGTGCCACATTTTTTTTTTTTTTTTGGACAGCTTGGACCTTGTAGATTGTATTTCAGTTAAACACTTGGCAAATCACAAATACCTTGCTCGTGTTTCTTTGTTAATAGTAACACCACTAACCTTACACAACTCTAAAATTTACCTGCTTGCCTCTCAATACGACTACTACCATAAAATCCCATAACGGCGCTCCTCCCACGAAAGATCGCCCATCCCCTTTTTCTGGCTATATATGTATAACATAAAAATTCCAAAACATGTCCCCCCCCCCCCCCCCCAGTCCTGGCAAACATAGTGAGATGTCCATGCGAGTCTGCTGCGTCTGCAATCTGTGGGATTCGTTCCCGTGACATGCGAGTTCGTAGCGGGTTCCCATGTTTCCTGTCCGTGACCTGCACATGCGATATCGGTTCGCGTGACATACTAGTTGTCCCAGCATGCTTATTGCACCGCAAGACGCAAATCTGATGTGTCCGCGATTTGCAGCATCGGTTCCCATGACATGCGAGTTTGCGACAGGGTCCCTCGTGCCCTTCGCACCATGCAAAGCGAATCTGCTGCGTCCGCAATCCACTATGTATTTTACCGTGACACAGGAGTTTGTAGCAAATTCCCACGTGTTCATATATCGCATCATGAAACGCAAATTTGCCGTGTCCGCGTTGGGCGGTATCAGTTCCCGTTTCACGTAGTTTGTAGCGGATGGCCCGGTGTTTTCTCATTTTCTTTTATAAAGTTTTGTTGTCGCAACCCTAAAGATAGCCCTCCCCATTTTTTTCACCATTTATTTAATTTAATTTAATTTATTTTACCCTCAAAGCTGGGGGGGAAAAAGAATACAAAGAAAGATCGTAGCAAAAAAGTAAAAAACACTTGGCACAGAAAACAGGATGTGACAGATCACGCACACTTATACATAAAGTTCGAAGTTTTCGGTTTAAACCGATAAAAACCGATAAAAATATGCCGAATCCATTTTCGGAAATTCGGTTTTAACCGAAAAAGGTCAGTTTTTATGTTCGGCATGTTCGATTTAAACCAATAAAAGTTTGTCGAATCCTTTTTCTAAAATTGAGTTTTAATCGGAAAAGGTCACTTTGACCTTCCGATTAACCTCTGACCTTCCGAAAGTGTAACAACAGTGTCTATCGAAACGTGTCCGAATTTATGGGATACACGGATGGCATCAATCACAAAGTTTTGGTTTAATGTGCACATCATCAATTGGAACGTGAAGTCCGAAATGCCCCATGACTTCGCCATGTACGAGCGTGTTTTCAAACTCGTTGTAAGGAAGAGTGACTTGATGCAAGCTCTGCATGTTCTGTTGTGCTTCAAAACGTTGCACCGTGTCTCTTTCGGCGGACAGAAATGGTTGATTGGCCGATTTTGACTCGGGCAGCGCTTCATCTCCTGAGCCTGCCAGTGTCCAGTGTTAGTGCTGAAAGGGCATTCTCGAAGCTCAGGGTCATATTAACAGGAAAGAAAGAGTGCGGATCAAGGAGGAGAACCTGGGAAAGTACATGTGTGTGTACTATAATGAGATCACGCAATCCTGGTGTACAGAAGATGAAGTTCCTTGTTTTTTGGGCATAGGCTTCATATCGAACTTGTTTGTACTTCCGTGTTTTTTTCTTGTCTCTTTTACAGTTGCACACATTTGCCAAATGAAGTGTTCATTTCTTTTTCAATGTATCTGTGCTGTTATTCTTTGAGTGATCACAAATATCAGAGCTACAAGGATCATTTTATCCGGTGTCCGTTGGTGTTTATTTTATATTCACCGAAAAAAAGCCGATAAACGTTTGTAGGCATAAATATACGCCGAAAAAAACAAAATTGAATTAATAAACACCAAAAAAAGGACGCCAAATTTTGAAGAAATAGAAACCGAAAACGCGGAACACGTACATAACAGCTACACGCCAAAAGAGCAAATGAAATCAAAAGGACTTAAAGGGACACTGACACCCCCCAAAATTTTTTTTTAATTTTTTGCCAGGCGCTTCGTTATGGTGTCGGAGGACTACCCAATCAATATTTTGCAACAGAGTAGCGTATTTTTTTAATAAAGCCAAAAGACGCAACTGCTCGAAATCGAAACCGAAACCCGACGGAGGTCGGAGAAGTGGAGAGAAGAGTGTGTGTGGCGGAAGTCACGTGGCTACACCCGACCGTGTTCTTTTTTTTTTTTTTTTTTTTGTTCTCCTTCCCGGTAGCAGACGACATGCGGCGTATGGGAACTGGTCGCCGTGGGATTCTTTTGCAGTTATGTATGTTCCGCTCGTTGTTCTGTACTCCAAGATGAGTTGTTTTGTACATTGAGGAGTTGGAGATGAGTAGTGAGTGCCCGAGGTGGATTTTGATCGGCTCCGAAAAGAATACACCCAAGATGTTGCGTGAAGAGCTGGCTCACATGTCCCGCGCCCGAAACAGAAGTGGCATTGTGCGACAGAGTTTCCGAAAGATCAACGGGATCGGGACCAATGGCTGGCTGCAATTCCTGCAGACCATTTACGGGCACCTCGGAAAGCGGGCGCTACCTGATTTTTATGCTCCTTGCATTTTGTGGAAAGTGATTACATTGAGTTCGCAGGTGTCAAAAAGGAAATCTCATACCATCTAATTCAGCGACGTGTCGTCCACAACATTTGTTTCTTATATTGTTTTTTTCTTTCTTCAGTAATAATTGTAAAAAAAAAAAAGAAATGTAGACATCAGAGAATATTTGAAAAAAAAAAAAAAAAAGTTTGACGGGGGATCGAACCCGGTCCTACCGCGTGTCATGGAGACGTCTTCCCCACTGCGCTACTGGGGCACATCGAAACTGGGGTATCTTTTTCCTTAGTAATAATTCAGCCGATAAACTGTAAGTGGGAAAGTTTGCTGCCGATTTTCCTCTAGCAAAAGCACTCCCGGGTCGAAGTCGGGATGCACCACGCATTGGCGACATTCTCACCTAGTAAAGCAATCGTACGCGTGCAGATTCAAGTCGAAGTAGACACGTCGCGCTTGACGTTTGCGCGAGCGATGTCTTCAGCCACAAGAAGGGAGCGACGGCTCGGCGACGTCTTCGTGCAAATCGGCTTGGTGGTCGGGCGTGTCGTACGGGATGAATACTAATTCTTTTGACCAGTCCCTAATTTCTCTTTTAAAGGCAGACAAAATTCGCCGGTACCGCGAACGACAGTTCTGAAATAGAGGCCCCACGCCCGTCGTCCGCTGCCATCGCCGTCCCTGCGAGTCCCACGATACGCGAAACGACGCACGCTCAGAATGCTTCCGGTTGTCTGTGGAACTTTTTTTTTCAATCAACGTATTTGCAGCTTTTTAGAAGCCACAAAAAATGCGTTTCATATTTTTTTCTATTTTTAATATTGAGTGTGTGCTATCAGTGACCCACGACTTTGATTAAATTTGGTGGTCGCATCGATACCTTAGAAAACGGCCCGTGACCGCGAGAAAGAGAGTGAGCGAGACTCGAACCGGCCAGTTCTTGATCGGCGGTTTTCGGGCGGAAAGAAACCGAATTTCGAGCCGCAAATTCTGTTCTGGGTAGTTGAGCTCTCATATGTCACGTACAACTAAAAACCTCGGCGAGCATAAATACCCTGTCAGTGTCCCTTTAAATAATTCCACACATGCACTCCTAAACTGTGTACAATCTTGTATGCATTTTCAGGGAACTCATTCCATTCATAAGGGTAGACTGAGTTTATGCTGGTGGTCGTGCTGAGGAAAGATTCGATGCGGAGGAGGTAAAAGTTCCCTTTTAAGGTATGGATTATAATAATGCATTCGGTGGATAAAAGTTTGCTGTGATACTTTGCACCTATTGCACAAGCGAATAAATGAATCATCCCTCAAATTAAAACTCTCTTTATTTTGGGTGGGCGTCCTCATGGGATTCTACGGTAGTCTAGTTTATAAGTATTGTAACCCTCAACAGAAAATTTCTTTCCAAAACTGCCTCATTTCTTACTGTTAGCTTACAAAAGACTACCCACTGATTAGCAATTTCAAGTATCAAAATAGAAAAGCAAAAGCATACATACATCATTATCTTCTTGACCGGCCTCATTTCCATTCACCCTAATTGCCAAAAAAGAAAAAGAAAAAAAATAGCCAGTTAGTTTATCAGTAAAAGACCACCACCACAAATTTGTTGAGTGCCAGCGAAAGCAATCACCAGCGCTCAGCAATCACCAGCGCTCACCGTATCCTCAAACTGTTGATTCTCTTCGAAATCGGCATGAAATCACAGCCATCTTCTTCGCAAGTCCTCTGCCTTTTCCGCCTGAAAAAGAGACGCGACGTCAAATGCAATACTGACAATACCGCCTGCACGTACTGATTCAATGGGACGCAAAGTGATGTCTAGAGCGATCTTACTATGCCCTGCTTCATTGGAAGTGCACGCAAAGCTAATGCAGCAAGCACGAGCATGTTGCCTCGAATACTTCATTCACTTCAAAAGCGTGCATGCATAGCAGGCTTGCTGAAAGCGTCAAGCCCACTCTTTTAGCTTGTCCTTCGCTAGCATGTATGGTAAAATAGAGTATAAACTCGACAAAGAAAAAATGTCTGCCTTTCAGTAGCAAAGATTCCTCGAAATTCACCCTCAAAAAGGTACAAATTTTGAGGTCGGGGAAATATAAAAAGACTGAAAAATAAAAGTCCCCTTGTCCACTCCCGCGGTTAGGCACCGCAGACTTAAAGGGACACTGACAACCCCCAAAATTTTTGTTTTGATTTTTTGCCAGGCGATTTATTATGGTGTCAGAAGACTACCCAATCAATATTTTATAAAATATTTTAAAAAAGGACCACATATATGTTTAATGAAGTACAAAAACGCAACTGCTCGGAACCGAAACCGAAACTGGACTGGGGAGGAAGAAGAAATGTAGAGGAGGAGAGGTTTGGCAGGAGTCACGTGGCAGTGCAACTTTTTTTTTTTTTCTTCAATCAACATATTTGCAGTTTTTTTAAAAGCCACAAAAAATGGGTATCATATTTCTTTTTTAAAATAAATACAAACAGTGGAGCAAGTGCCAGATGGATAGATACGGCTGAACCCTTTGAAACGGGTGGCAGCTTGCGCCACCTAGTGCTATTCTGAGCCTGCAGAACCTCCAGTGTAACTCGATGGTACTTCTCCAACACGATAATCACCATAGGTGCTTTCTGCCGGAGCATTATCTTAACTCTTGACTTCATGAGGCGCGACACTTGCCCTTTTGGTAAAGGCACACGCTTGAATTGATGCTCTTCATAAACAGAGGACCATTAGTGAACGCGTGGAAACGAACGCATGCAGAACTGAACATTGTCATGTGCAGTGCAGAGTGATCTCGCTGCATGTTTTCCGTTCCTATTTTATCTTTTATCGTTATACAATGCACTGATAACGCAGAAGTCAGAGAGCTAGTGGATTATTAGAGGATGACGTCTCTTATAGGGAAATTGAGATGAAATGACCGAGCGGCATCTGTCAATCAAATGGTGCAACTTTTGAGGCTGCACGATCAGTGGCCATGATGCCACTAATTCCTATGAAGGAACGGCACTAATACATCAACGCTCTCGCAGCCAGTTTCTCAAGAGCACAGCGGAAAGACATTGCATTGCAATACAATACAATACAATACAATCTGCTGCAAAAAAATACAGTATTTTGATTACTGCCAGAATCCACCGCTATGAGGCACCGTAGGTATTGTTCAGCCGCAGTTCCATTCTTTATACTTCGTTTGATTGTGACTGTACTTGTTCGTTCTGCTGCACATACTTCCTCTTCTGTATTAGTTTAACATTAAATTGTGGTACTCCGAAGCAAGCAACAAGCAAACAAGCAACTAACCACAGCCCCAGAGAAATTAATAACATAGCAAGGCAGTTCTTGCTATGTTCTCCCCAGACTGGTCTGCTGTATTGCGTGTTTAGCTCTTGATTTCCTACGTCACAGAAGCTTCCACCAAAGGCCGCTGTCAGACCGCGTCGCCACTGAAGCTCTGTTGTCCTTGAGGTAACGTTCGCCAATTCATTTACAACCCAGTGAAAGATATCGCCTAAAAACGAGACTTCGACGGCGCTTTGTGAAATGTCTCTACTTTAAATTCCCATGATCATATGCACACAAAATTACTTCGGTATAATTATAATGAATGAATAAATAAATAAATAAACAGTGATCAAACTGCGCTGTTCTTGGCGTTTCCGTTGGTTCTAAACGGCTAGACGAAATGGCCCCTTATTTCGATTTCTTATTTTGTATTTCGCCCTTTAAGCTCGACCCCGCGCACGAAGAACCTGTCTGGCTAGAAACGACGAAAGAAATGCAAAAAGAATGCGAGTTGCCAGTGTGCCAGTTTGCGTTCTTCTCAAAACCGAAAACGCCTCGCACTTCGCTTTATTCTGTGCCGATTTTATCAAAAGCGCTCCATTAGAAACTGATTTTAGAGTTGGAGATTGACTCACGAGTTTTCGGTGAGCGTCATCACGCGAAACGGAAGGCTGGACTAGGGTGACAAATAACGTTGACGTTAAAAATTCACGCTAGCCACTCATTCTACGGCAAAAACTGCAGGCAGACATTTTTTTCTTCGGGAACGCGATTGTCTCGCCACCTAGGATCGAGTGAGCCAACCAATATTTTTGGGTGCGTTCGTTTGATTTTTTCGCTCTTGCGTTCCAGCTTCAGCGTAGACTTGTATTGTCAAAGTCGAACAAAAATAGGTATATGACGTTATCATTTTACACAACTTTTGTTTGCAATACAAGGGTAGCCGCAAGTTACCTCGGGTAGATTGCAATGTCACCCCGTGAGTTATAAATAAGTTCACAAAAAAGTAAACATTATAATGTGTCATAAATATCTGGTCAATGTTTTAAGCGGTTGTAACTTTCTGGAGACTGATTTTGACTAGTGCTCGCCTGCCCACAATACGAATGTGCGGTGTTTAATTTCACTTTCGTACTGTTGTCATGGTTACTGGAATTGTTTACGACTTGACGACCGCTTCGTCACTTTGTGCGTTCGGTATTTTACGAACTTTGAGATTACGTTCGCCTCTCGTCCAATGAGAAAAGAGGAGAGAAAAAACTTGACAGACGGGACACAGCCAGACGACGAGACGGTCCTCCGAATAATCCTCAAAATGATAAGATAAAATACAAGCGGTGGCGTGACTTGACATCTGCGATCGCACATGCCCCAAAGGCAAAAAGCTATTCAAGGTCATCGTCCGTTCGAAGCGGTCGTCTGCTAGCGTGCCCGCCACATTTCTGGCCGTTAATTCGATCAGGGGACGGTGATACTCTAGTTCTAGTCCAGGTCGTGGCGATTGCTAGACTACTTGACGATGAATCCGCACGCGAAGTACCAGACACCGCTGTCGGCCCGTTATGCCAGCCCTGAAATGGCTTTTCTTTGGAGTGACCAGAAGAAATTTTCGACATGGAGGAAACTTTGGATCTACCTTGCTAAGGCTGAAAAGGTGGGGCTTCCTTTTGTCTCTTTGGATTCTTCTAATTCGTAAAAGCAAAGATTGCGCACTGAAACATAAAAGCGCGCATATACATATTAAAAAAAAAAAAAAAAAAAAATACATTTACGCGTTTTGCGTGACATCAAAATTACGAAGCATTTAAAAATCACCTGCGGCCTGCGCGAAATTAAAGTTGTACCTAAAAGTCACCTGCAGCTGGCGTAACTGATGTAAAAATATTGTAATTAAAAAAATTAATTGTGTTTCCATTGCGTACAGGATTTTTTTATTATTACTATTTGTTTCAGTTTGTTGATTGCCAGCATTGTCAACCTGTGGCTTTACTTACATTTGTGAGCCACTATCCTAACGAAAGATGCACAGATTGACCTGACGAACAAGAGTGCGTAAATTGAAATGAGACATATCAAAGCGAAGATGCAAAGGCGTCGCGCCATGCTGGTGGTCATTAGTACTCGTCCTCGGCGAGGAAAACAAATGATTTCTACAGAAGGTACGCGCTCAGTGTCAGGACTACAACAATGGCGGATGGTGCAACATCGATCCGTGTACATGCATTTAATCAAAGTTTTGCACTTTGACGATTTACATGCCCACAGCCTGTTGCAGGTTAAGATAAAAGCAAGACAAGCCCCTCCCGTAAAGATCTCTGCTGGCCACGGTTGGTGGTTTCCTCCTCTCTAGCATTCGCTCTGCTAAAGTGGAAAGAGTGGAGGGCCTCGTGGGAGGAGCGTAACCTGCATTTCTTAACCTGCTACAGACTATAGATTGTTACACGACATCCAGTGATACATATATTTGCTCAGTGCTCTTTGGCAAAGGCTAGATCTTAGGCATAATGCCTCCGTGCACCCAGAGCGTCGTCTCGACGTCCTGTCACGAGACACACTCGCATCTGCACGGCACGACCTTAGAGGCACGCACCCTCGGCTCTGTTCCGCACAGTCTCTGGGCATCCTAATCACGGACGACCAGATCCAGGAGATGGAGGCTCACGTGGACACCGTCGACTTTGCAGCGGCCGCCGAGGAGGAGCGTCACACGCGCCACGACGTGATGGCGCACGTGCACGTCTTCGCCAAGCAGTGCCCCAAGGCCGCCCCCATCATCCATTTGGGGGCCACCTCTTGCTACGTCGGAGACAACACGGTGCGTCGGGCCGTGCTTCCGTAACCGTGCGGTCATGCCAACAGTTGGCTCGCCTGATTTACCTGCATCAGCTTGCACCGGTGCAGAAAAGTGTAGGGCAGTGTGCTTTCGGTTGCATTTGGGATAATTAAGATAAGAGCACCTACTTCACAAAACAGAAAAAACAATTTCATTAATGAAACTGTTTTTTCTGTTGTGTCAAGTCAGTGCTCTTATTTTAATTATGACGTCTCCCGGCTTTTGGAGTATTGTTGCATTTTGAGATAGGATGCACTCGTAAATCGAGTACAGCGGCGTGCAGCCGGTGCAGGAGGTATCAGTAAATCGAACTCGGCAGGTTGTGCGAATGCTGGCTTGGCCTATATACAGCGTGTACCAAAAAAAATATAAAAATATTTAGTGTTTTTCTTTACGGGAAAAATAAACTATGCTTTACCAAACGCTTGTTCTTTACCCAAACGTAGTGTTAGCGGTTTAAACCAGATGCCAGAGTTTCAGAACCAACCATTATTCGATTCAAGAGTTATAAAACGATTTTCGGAAAACTTCATTTGGAAAATGGGGTTCGTTCTTAGTAGCAGACGCCATTCAGCTCCATGTATTCAAGGGCTCCATCAGCCGCCATCTTCCCGTCGAAAATTAAAAAAAAAAAACGCTTCTAACTTTTGCATTAGATAACGGTTAGTTCTGCAACTTTGGCATCTGGTTCCGATCGCTAACGCTACATTTGGGCGAAGAATGAGCGTTCTGCGATGCATGGTTTATTTTTGCCGTGAGAGAAACCCTGTAGATGTTCTTGGGGACACCCTCTACTTCATGTCACCATAACTTAGCAAATGCTACGGCCCCCTCGAGCCTGACGGAAGCGAAGCACGTGACAGGTGACAGTCTTTATTTACCGAAAGGGCAAGAGCGTGACCCAAACGGTTGGAGAAGCGGGGAAGGAGGAACTCCCCTCTTACCCTCTGTTGTATGTCCCAGGCATGTCCTTTGTCCCTCTTGATGCCTGTCACTCAAAATTCGTACAAAAGCCCCTTTCCTTCCTTTTCCGCCAGTGGCTTTGACGGTACTATGTGATACTAGTGAGGTAGAGTATAGGCATGGTGCCTCTTTCCAACATGCTGAATGACTCACTGGGTCTGTAGCCTTCACAGTTTGCAAAGTTATGGGGAGATTAAGTATAGCAACATCCTCATTCAACTTATATGGTCCCTTTACAACAATGTGACACTTACTGAAAAGCTCATGTCAAATATCCATTGTGCCAGTATAGGTAGTTATCGAGAGAATATATATTTTATGGGGCAAGTATGGTACAAGTGTCTAGTTGACCTTAGTACCTGAATAGACTCGCTGTTTTAATACCAGTATTAAGGAGGGTCTTAATTGATGACAGAAGTTCTAAATGACGATGACTGCTCCAACATCATTTGTTTTTGCAGGACCTGATTCTCCTGAAGGAAGCGATCACCATCCTTCTTCCTAAGGTAACAATTGAATCCTTTCTTTACTGCATACTAAAGCGATGCAATTGAACCTCGTGCAACAAAGATGGCATTAACTGTGCCACATGAAGTTGACATTGCGGCAGAAAATTTGAGGTAATTTTAGTTATTGCACTGGAATTTGGACAGACCATTCTTGAACTATATTTACCGGCATCCCTCCACAGAGTTTGTTCTTCAAACATCCGGAGCTCTTACACAGCGGCACATATGCAGTCGCTGAAGCTGGGAGATGGCACAAAGCGAGCTCCGACAGACTGAAACAAATCGGATACTTCACGGCTCAAATTCTAGCCATGGCGTAGAATAAGCGTATGTGCATGCAGAATGTTTTTTAGGTTTCCCTTCCCTCCCGAAACAGCAGCACCTGATGGTATAAGTACCATTCCGTCGGCATAACTGGGCTAGAAAGGGGAAGCAATCGGAAGTGGAGATGGGTGCATATACAGATATCTTTAGAAGATTCATATCTTCAGTAACAGTCTCTGTGCTCCTGTATGCTGTAGTCGTGTTTCTCCATATCGTCTGGTACAGCGCTCCTATCCTGTGTCTCGATGCAGTTGGCAAGGTGCATTCAGCGGCTGTCCAAGTTCGCGACAGAATATGCCAACCTTCCGACCCTGGGGTTCACCCACTTCCAGTGAGTTCCAACTTCCATTTTGCAGTGTCAGAAGCCCACTCTGAAAGATGTCTTGTAGACCTGTTTCGCTTGTTTCCTGGATGTCTTGGATAGACAGTCTGCATTTTGCACAGGTGTCTTGGGAACACAATCCCCTTGTGTTACAAGTATATTGTAGACATGGTCTGCATGTTTCCTAGGTGCCTTGTAGACATGGTCCCCACTTCCTCTGGATGTCTTGCAGATGCAGTTGCCATTTTGCCTGGGGCTCTTGGAGAGACAGTCCCCTTGTGTTACAGATTGCCTTGTAGACATGGCGAGCGTGTCCTTTAGAATTCTTGTAGACACGGCCCCATGTCTACAAGACGTGGTTCCTGATGTCCCCTGGATGTCTCATGGACATAACTCCCATGTCTCCTGGACGTCTTGTAGATTGTGGTTCTCCTTGGGGCCACTGCCTTTGGGGGTACCACGTTCGCGGCGAGACGCTCTACCGCGAAGCGGGTTCGTACTCGCGTGGCATGCTGCTCGTTGAGCGCAAACAGACACCAGTCACGTTGGTAACGGTGATAAACTGTTTATTTACAATGAAACAAAATAACAACAAAACAGCGGCTATAAACTGGTGAACGCCGTCGGTGTGGAGATCGCCCACGGCCGAACGGTCGTTCACAAAGGTACAAAGGACGGGATAAACGCTCACCGGTGCGCCGGAAGGGTCCCCGTTGTCGCCGCCGCCGAATCCCAGGAAGAAGAGGAGAAGCGAGACTCCTGTCCGCTGGTTTTAAGATAACGGCGGGGGCGAAGTGGCCAATCAAGGAGCGACACGTCGATCTCCTTTGTGCGGGGGTTCGTCACGGAAATCGCCCCAAGGGGGAGAGGAGGAAGCCACTCACAGTGGTAAGCGGCGCCACCTCTCGCTACGTCGGCGCGGCCGCCACGGCGTGCCAAAACGCTGACGCGACAGAATGTTGAGGGATCACAATCCCCACACTCCCCCCTCCTTAGCCAATAGTCACCCGCAAACGGGTGGACCAACACAAACACACAAGACTAAAATAATAAAAAAAAAAGAAAAAAGGCCGCTGCAACTACACGGGAAACAACAGCCCGGCTCATAGGTTCATGGTCCAAAAGTTCGTACAGCGGTCCCTCACCAGCGGTACAGCTCCCCCAGCTGCAGTCGGTCGGCTGCGTCATTCCTTGACGGTCGCGCACGTGGCGGGTCACCTCCTGAGCGCCCAGGCCGGGGTAGGGCGTCGAGCCCAAAGTGACGAATGTCCCACGGCAGCATTCCGAACGCCCAGGCGTCGGACTTGAAGGAGAATACCTGGAGTTGCACGCACTCCGGAGCCATCCACCGCACTGGGAGGGCGCCCTTGGGCTTCTGGTGGTACACGTCCGTCTCGGGGTTCCAGTGCTCCTGGAGAGTGCGAAGTCGGCGACCTTGTAGCAGCCGTGTTCATCGACGAGCACGTTGCGGGCGGCCAGGTCCCGGTAGATTGTCCCTCGACTGCCGAGGTAGTTCGCCCAGCCCTGCTGGGCGAACTGCGCCAGGTCCCTGGGGCCCTTGGGACTTGTCACGGGACGAATGGGAACAGCTGGTCCCTGGTCGGCGAGCTTTCCGACCGCGGCGCGGGTCCCGAAGATGATGAGCCGGCAGTCCCTGACCGGATGACGATCCGGACGGCCCACGAAAACGACGGGTTGCTGGTTTGGTCCGCGGCCGGCTGGGGTAGCGGGGCCGCCTGACGAGTCACGCGCAGCTCTGGTCCCTGGACGCCGCTGAACTGCCGTAGCCAGGAGACAGCAGCTCCCGAACGACGCGAAGCAAAGGCTGGAGGTCCTCTTCGTAGGTGCGGAACGCACTGCGCTAGAATGACCACTTGGTCTCCGACCGCTTGTGACGACGCTCGCACCGCGCTCTTGCGTTGACATGTGGCCCACGTGAGCGTAGGTGGCAATAACTGACCAGTGGCAGTTACGCGTACCCTTTCCCTCGGAAGCCGTGTTTGGGGGGATTCCCCTACGGGTTCATCCGGGAGCGAACGCTGAGGTGACGTATCTAGGTCACTGCTTGCCAGTAAACAATGGTGTCTGGCGCGTTCGCGAAGGCAGCAGGTGTATTGTGCTTTGCACTTCCCTTAATGTGACATTTCGCCACTTAATGGGGCTGCCTCTACGAAAACTTCGGATAATAGTTCCTCCGTCTACGCAGATTGTAGCGAGACGCCTGTTGTTCATCGTCGGCGTTATCTCGCGCTGCGGGTGCATGTTTTTGCGGGGGCTGAGTTTGCTCGTTGGCCCCGTTTTCCCTCTCATGGTAGGGTTTCAGATCGCACACATGTACCGGCCCACCGACTTTTCTTGATTGCAAGTTTGTCAGCTTGTACACGAGTGGGGAGAGAAGTTCCTGCACTCGGTACGGGCCACACCACTTCGGAGCCAAAGCTGCCGAGAAGCCTTTGCTGGCATCGCTCAGAGCATGGTTGCGTCTGAGGACGAGATCGCCCACTTTGTAGCGGAGGTCTCGATGCGAGCGGTCGTACTGGGCTTTTTGTTTCGCTCGCGCTACCCCGAGATTGCCACGCGCCTCTGAGAAGGCTTCCATCATCCGAGTTTGTAGCTGCCGCGCGTGGTCCGTTTGCGTCGGCTGCGCGTTGTCCACCCCGGCTCTCGCCCCTAGGACACGGTCCATGGGGTTCGGAAGCTCTCTCCCGAATGTGAGGAAAGCGGGGGTGAAGCCCGTCGAACGGTTGAGAGTGGTCCGAAGTGCGAACCCGATCTCGGGGATAGATGTGTCCCAGTCACGGTGCCTTTCCGCGAAGGCGGCCAGCATTGGTTTGATGTTTCTGTTGCATCGCTCCGTGATGTTCGACTGCGGGTGGTACGGCGTGGTTGTTCTGTGCTTTATGCCAAGGGCCTTGCACGCGTCCACGAATACCTTCCCGACGAAGTAGCTCGCTCGATCAGTCAAAAGAGCTTCGGGGAACCCAAAACGGGTGAAAACCTCCATGAGCTTCTCCGTGATCGCTCGGGCTGTCAGCTTACGGAGTGGAAAAAGTTCCGTCCATTTGCTGAAGTGGTCAGTTACAACCAGCAAATACTGGTGTCCTTTAGGGCTCCTCGGTAGGGGGCCGACCACGTCGCAGGCTGCCAGAGACCATGATTGCTGGCTCGGAATCGGTTGCATTAGGCCCGGGGGTTTGCCGCCTCTTGGTTTGAAGCTTTGGCAAGAGTGGCAGGTGCGGGCATAACGGAAAACGTCCCGTTTCATGCCCGGCCAGGTGGCGATGCGACATAACTTTGAGTAAGTCTTGGAGCCGCTCGCGTGTCCGGCCAAGTGCGAGTCGTGATAGTATCGCAAAACTGCGTTTCTCAGACTGCGGGGTACCACTACCTTGAACGCCTCGTCGGAGTCGTTCTCGGAGGGTATGTACCTCAGCAAGAGCCCGTCATTGCTCAGCAGATATGAATCCTCCGTGCCCGCACCAATACCAGATACGTCCCGGCACTCGGCGCCTACTACAATACCAGTAGTGTTGCGCCCGGCGGTCGCACCGCCCGCCTCCACGGCGTCCGACTCTTCTGCGAGTCCTTCGATCACCTTTCGACAAAACGGATCATTCTGCTGAGCTTTCAGAAGCTCTTCTTTGCTGAACACGATTCCCACTGCGCTCACTGCGTCTAGGTGGTTGATCGTCTCGTCCGGGGTGGTCAGATCAGCTGCCTCCCTTTGGGACTGAGTCACGGCTTCGCCTGGCACTGTGAGTGTCGTTGGCTCGGCCTGGGTCTTTGCGGAAATCTGTGTGCAGTCTACGGGGGCTCGTGACAATGCGTCCGCCACCACGTTTGTGCTGCCTTTCCGGTACCGCACGACGTAGTCGTATTTTTGCAGCATCAAAGCCCATCTTGCCAAGCGACCAGCGGGTTCGCGAAGTCGGGAGAGCCATATTAGGCTTTGGTGATCTGTTTCGATCACGAAAGTGGTCCCGTCGACATAAATGTCGAAACGCCGGAGTGCAAAGACGATGGCCAAGCACTCTTGTTCGCATGTGCTGTAGTTCCTTTCAGCTGGCGTCAACGAGCGGCTGGCGAAGGCCACCGGTCGGAGTACACCTTCGTGCTGTTGGAGCAGGACCGCGCCCAAGCCAAGATTGCTGGCATCTGTTTGGATCAGAAAGGGCTTGTTCAAGTCGGGTAGCTTGAGTTCAGCTGTGTCCGCGAGCGCTCGGGAGGTGCGGCGGAAGGCCGCTTCCTGCTCGGGACCCCAGCTCCAACTCACGGACTTTCGCAATAGGCGTGTCAGGGGTGCTTGAAGCGTCGCGCAGTTTGGGATGAATTGGCGATAGAAGTTCACCATTCCCAGGTAGCGACGGAGGGAGCTCACGTCGGTCGGCGCAGGAAACTCCAGGATTGCCTGTAGTTTGTCGGGATGTGGCGCAAGGCGCCCGCGATCAAGTTCGAACCCGAGCAAGGCGATGCGGGTTTCGGCTATTTGAGCCTTTTCGGGGTTCAGGGTCATTCCCGCGGCTTTTAGCCGGTCGAGTACGTCCTCGAGATGACGTAGGTGATCTTCGAAGGTGTTGGAGTAGACGACAATGTCGTCGAGATAGGCCATTGCGTGTTTCCATTTGGCTTCTCCCAGTACTCGGTCGATCAATCGCTGGAACGTCATAGGCGCTCCGCACAGACCGAAGGGCATTCGTGTGAATTCGAAAAGCCCGCGGTGACAACAGAAGGCTGTTTTTGCCTCGTCACCTGGCTCCATCCGAACCTGGAGGTAGCCTCGGCTAGCGTCCAGGGTGGTGAAGTACCGCGCACTGCCCAAGTTGGACAGAATCGAGTCGATGCTCGGTAGCGGGTAGGCGTCCTTTCGTGTGACGTCGTTCAGACGGCGGTAGTCCACGCAAAGACGTGAGCTGCCGTCTTTCTTCGGGACCAGCACCACGGGGAATGCCCAGGGGCTGTTAGATCGCCGGACAACTCCGGTGTCGATCATTTCGTCCAGGGCACGGTCGATGGCTTTTCGTTTAGCCAAGCTTACGGGTCGCGCGTTCTGCCTTCTTGGCAGTTCGTCGCCCGTGTCAATGCGATGTCGCACTTCGTTTGTGCAGCCCGGTCGGTCCGTGAACATTGCGTCATAGCGGCGCAACAACGACGACAGTCGGGCTTTTTCTCGCCCTGACACGCTGCATGATTGCGTGAGCAGTGGGTGCGTCATTTCCCCAATGGGGGCGGCGCTCGCTGCCATCGGCGCTGGACTCGGTGTCTTGGGGTGAATGACCCGGTTTAGGGAGTCCCTCGCTTCCTCTCGACGGCTCGTCGCGTGCGCCAATGGTGGCGTTGGCGGTACGGCCGGGGGTTCGCAGAAGGGTTTCAGGGGTGCAAACGTGCCCTCCCGATAGCCTGCGCTGCTGACGTCGATTACAATGCCTGTTTTGGCAAGGAAGTCTCTGCCCAAAATAATGGGCACCGATAGGCCAGGGAGATGAACGAAGCGTTGTCGTCTTACTCGATTCTCCCATCTCGCGACCAGCCGCGCGGTACCAGCCGAAAGGGCGGTTCCGCAGGCTAGGCGAAAGGCAGTGTTGCATTCTCGGAGTCGGACAGAATTCTGTCGGAGGTGAGTCAACACTTCGTCGCCGAACATCGAAGCGCTTGCTCCGGTGTCGAGGAGTGCCTTGAATGGCTTGCCGGCGATCGTCACAGAAATGAACGGGGCCGGCGTACCGGTCGGGAAGCCTATTCTGTAGGCAGTCGGTAAAAGAGTAGCCATGGGACCCTCTGATTCTTTGTTAGCCACCGGTCCGTCCGTCCAAGGGCCGTTTACCGGTGGCTTTGCTCGTTTCCCGCACGGTGCGATTCCGTGTTCGGCCGCTCCGGGCACTGGCGAGCGAGATGACCGGGGCGATTGCACCGAAAACATCTTCTGTCGTCGCCTCGCTGGGGGTTCCGCCGTGCTTTTTGGTTTTCGCTGGCTCTGTCGTAGCGTGCATCGGCTCGCTGAGATTGAGGGATCCTCGTTTCCTCCTGCCTCGCTGCCTCGTTGGGGCGCGAGTCGGTGGTTCTGAACTGCGGCGTCGGCCGGCTTGTTCGTCTACCGTAGGAGTACGGGTCGAGCGCACGATCTGAGATTGCGTACGTGTCTCGGCCCCGATCTTCCGCATAGTTTGCGGAATCGTAGCGCCTCGGTGCTCGGGATGGCGTGTCCCCGCTCCACGCGCAGCGCGGTTCGAGGGCCGCTGACGCTGGAGGCGGAGGCCGGTACGCACGGGCAGCGAGAATGTCACCCTGAAGGCGCCGGGCCTCGGAGGCGAGCTCGTTCAGGTCGCGGAAACGGCTGCCTCGAAGATACGCAGCGAAAGTCGGATGGCTTTGGCGTATGACGCGTTCCACTCGCTCTGCATTGGGAGCTGAGGGTTCTGCGAGCTCGAAGAGCTCTTGCATGGCTCGTACGAACTCCAGCAGGGACTCGTCCGGATGCTGGGTTCGCTGTTCGAGCTCCCGCCGCATCCTTCTCTCGTAGTCGGCGGGAAGGAATTCGCGGCGGAACGCCTCTCGGAACTGATCGAGCGTTCCGGGTTGGTCACCGACAAGTCGGAACCAGCGGGCGGCTTCGTCGACGAGCGCGATTGGCAGAATGCGCTCAAGTATTTCGCTATCGGACATTCCCATCGCGCGTTGGTACTTCCGTAAATCGTCAAGGAAGTCCGTAGCGCTCGCTTTGTCTGCGTAACCCCGATAAGTCGGGACGGGAATTCGGACCGGAGGTCGTTGGGCCTGTGGTGCGAGTGTTGTCGTTCGCAACGCACCTGTCAGACTCTCAATCACACGTGCCGCGTTTTCGAGCAAGGTGTGATGAGGCGCCGCAGCGGTTTCTCCGTGGGGAGACCGGTAGGCCTCGCTTTGTGCCGGCGGCGGAACACGTGCGTTCGGGGAAGATCCGGGAGCGATGGCGCCCGTCCCCAATGGCGTCGGAACCACGCTCGGCTCCAGGAGTGCGTCGTAGGGCGCTTCACGTTGGAGGGTTGGCATTTCGGCTTCCCGTTGAAATGGGGGCCGCGCGAATGCGTCGGCCGCGGTCGCCAGCGTGAGCAAATCCGAGAAGTCGGTCTGCATTGTCACGGTAAGCGCTGGTTGCGCGAGGACTCGTCACTCGGCGGCAGTCGCCACACAGACGTACCAGGGTTCTGGTCGTCAGCCCTTTTGTTGGGCGCCAAATTGTGGTTCTCCTTGGGGCCACTGCCTTTGGGGGTACCACGTTCGCGGCGAGACGCTCTACCGCGAAGCGGGTTCGTACTCGCGTGGCATGCTGCTCGTTGAGCGCAAACAGACACCAGTCACGTTGGTAACGGTGATAAACTGTTTATTTACAATGAAACAAAATAACAACAAAACAGCGGCTATAAACTGGTGAACGCCGTCGGTGTGGAGATCGCCCACGGCCGAACGGTCGTTCACAAAGGTACAAAGGACGGGATAAACGCTCACCGGTGCGCCGGAAGGGTCCCCGTTGTCGCCGCCGCCGAATCCCAGGAAGAAGAGGAGAAGCGAGACTCCTGTCCGCTGGTTTTAAGATAACGGCGGGGGCGAAGTGGCCAATCAAGGAGCGACACGTCGATCTCCTTTGTGCGGGGGTTCGTCACGGAAATCGCCCCAAGGGGGAGAGGAGGAAGCCACTCACAGTGGTAAGCGGCGCCACCTCTCGCTACGTCGGCGCGGCCGCCACGGCGTGCCAAAACGCTGACGCGACAGAATGTTGAGGGATCACAATCCCCACAAGATATGGCATCCATGTTTCCTGGATGTATTCTGTGGCACAGCCCAGATGTTGCACAGATGTCTTGCAGGCATCGTCCCCACGTCCCCTGAATTTCTTGAATGACACACTTCCCTTGTGTTACAGAGGCCTTGCAGACATTGTCAGCATGTCCTTTAGATTTCTTGTGGACATGGTCCCAAGTACTACAAGACGTGGTCCCCAATGTCCTCTGGATGTCTCGTAATGGTCCCCATGTCTCCTGGATGTCTTGTAGATATGGTTTTTATGTTCCCTGGATGTCTCGTAGACATGGTCCACACATTGCTCAGATGTCTCGCAGCCATGGTCCCCATGTCTCCTGAATTTGTTGGACATACTCCCCTCGTCACTGCAGGTGTCTCATTGACATGGTGCCCACATCGCGCAGGTGTCTCGTAGACTTGGGTGGCCATGTGTCTAGAGGTGATAGAGGGAACTGCCTCTCTAACTGCCTTGTGATACTGACTGTGTGACACAGGCCTGCACAGCTGACGACTGTCGGGAAGCGTGCCTGCTTGTGGGTTCAGGACCTCCTGATGGACCTGGAAAACCTGGAGCGGGCACGGGACAACCTGCGCTTCCGGGGCGTCAAAGGCACCACGGGCACGCAGGCCAGCTTCCTGCAGCTCTTTGAGGGAGACCATGCCAAGGTGCAGAGGCTGGACCAACTTGTTACCAAGATGGCCGGATTCAACAGGTCAGAGGGCCGGCAGGTGACCACGGGCCAGCCGGAGTATGGTGCCTGGAACACGTCTCTGGCTGCCTTGTTTACCGTGCCCCAAAGAGTGGTCCTTCAGTTTCCACCCGATGGCGTCATTGAAGTGTTATGCTGTCGCATACTGTCGCATGATGAAGTGTTACGCTGTCGCATGATGTCCCAGACTTGATGTCTGGGACATCTCGTAGTGGCAAGACTTGGCCGACATGGATATTGTAGTGGAACGTGTCAATCGTAGGTGATGTCCTATGATGGGTCGTACGCATAGGCAAGCAATGCGATCGCAGTATCTTCAGAGCAAACTTGTGCTTTAGGGCTGCAGTGCTAAGGGTCCTGAGGACAACTGCCGTACGTGCCAGTTTTGATTTGAATGGCTGCTGTTTCATCGGCATGTTCTGGTACGGTCACTGTACTGCGTGACGCATGTGGAAGGAGCCAGCTAACACCCACAAGTTGTGCGCGGTGGTATTGAAGGTAGAGGTGCGCTGGTGCAGCTCTGAAAAACACACTCCCTAAAGTGACTAGCATGTTCCCACACGCAGCAGAGAATATCTGGGACTGAGTTAGCACTTGTTCCGTAACAAGGTTGCTGCTTCTCTAGGGCCCTTCATTTCTGGGTTTTATATTTTTCAAAGATTGGGGGTAAAAATCGGGCAGCATGTTCCAAGCTCGCTGGTTTGTCTAGAAATTATTACGAAATTTGTTCTTTTTCAAAATGAAGTACAATTTGCAATAAAAACATTGATTGGCTTTAGGACGTGTAATATTTTATTTATGCACACGAGCCAACAATGTTCAAAAGCCAGGATTAAAATGTATAGTAGTCGTGTGCAAATAGTGGATTTTGATTTTGAAGCGAATTCAAAGTGAATAGTGGTTGGTGGCCGAATTTTTTCTAATTCAAATGTCGAATAAGGTCTTTCAATGCTGCTGCACCAAGCCTTCAATTACTGTTGCACCATGCTCACAACGAAAACCCAGCTGAACTCGTGAAGGTTGTTCGCAAGCTTCCACTTGTCCATTTATAAGCTAATTTTTTATCTAACTGCCCCACTTTGAAAGTGTGCTTTTCTCCCAAGCATGCAATCGCGATATTCATACTTTTCCAAGCGTTGATCGCGGCGGGTTACCCCGTTGAGTGCGCTTCCTGCTGAGCACCGGTACACTGCAGAGAAGCAACACCCGCGGAGCTCGTTTTCGCGGCTGTTGCTTCTCTGCATTGCACCCGTGCTCGACAAGAAGTGCACTCAACGAGGCTAACCCTCGATCAACACTTGGAAAAATATAAATATCGCAGTTAATCTCGAAGCAAATGTCGAATAGTGTATTATTCGAAACTACTATTCGAAATTTCGAATGTTTGCACAGCACAAAAATGTAGTACAGGAGCTCACTTGGTCGTTTAAATTTTTCATAAATAATTCTTGACCAAGCTTCCTTCGCGAAAATAACTTCTTTTCAGAAAGCATCATTCGAATAGCTTTCGCTTTGCTGCTTGCTTGCTCAGTTTTCAAGAGGTTTTGCGAATGAGCTCCTTTTTCTTACGACAACGTGCGTGAAAACGTGAAATCCACTTTCCAAATTAGGGGAGAAATCGAGTTTAACCCCATTTTCAAAAACCATCTTCGAGGTGTAAATATCGAGAAATATAGGGTTTTACGCGAAAACGAAGGACCCTATGCATATACAAATTTTCGTAATCGTACGACTTTTTGGGTGCCAATAAAATGTTTAGTCTCTCTCTCTTTAGTTCTGAAAACAGACTGAGTTTGTGCTGCACAAATGCCCTTACTGCAAATCTAAATTGGGAAATAAAGATGGCGGCAGCGCGCAAATTCGGCTTTTGCCCGTGGAGCTGAAGGGTCGTGCAAGCGCCGTCTCCTCTCTTTCTTCCCCAGGTCCTTTGTGATCTGTGGCCAAACCTACACTCGCAAGGTGGACATTGACTGTCTCTCGGCTGTGGCCAGCCTTGGAGCGTCCGTGCACAAGGTACGGCTTCCCACACTTTTCTACTGACGTCTGCCATGGGAGGACGATTTGAAAGTCTTGGCTTGCCCTCCTGAAAAACGTCCCGTCTAGCTCCCCTTTTTCCTCGCGGTGTCTACCAACCTGGAAAACCTGGAATTGTTGGGGAATTTCAAAGAATCTGAAAAAGTCGGGGAATTGTTGGGGAAAATGGTCGACGTGGACAACACACTGACTTGCAACGAAGCGGGGGGGCGTGGCGTGCGGTGACGTGGATGGCCGTCATTCACAGCGAGTAACAGTTGTCCGACCGCATCGCTCGACGGTGTAATCCACCACCCGATTCATTGAATTAAACAGGAACGGCCCAAACAGCTGCCACGTCCCCACCCTCCGCATTTTCTTCTTTCGTAATGGTCGGGGAATTTGATCGAAATCTTTGGGGGTAAAACCCGGGAAAGTGGGGAATTTGAGAGGCGATTGGGCAGACATCCATCTCTGCCCTGGCAGATCTGCACTGACCTGCGGCTGCTGGCCCACATGAAGGAAGTGGAGGAGCCCTTTGAACGCACCCAGATTGGCTCCTCGGCCATGCCGTACAAGCGCAACCCCATGCGCTCGGAGCGCTGCTGCTCCCTGGCGCGCCACCTCATGGCCCTGGTGGCAGATCCCTTGGCCACCCACGCCACCCAGTGGATGGAGCGCACCCTCGACGACAGTGCCAACAGGTGCGGGCGGTTTTTCTGTGGCAACAGTGTGCGGCTTGCACCGGCACCACATCGGTGGCCGTTCTGGCGGTTTTGCAGCCAATCGCATACCTTCTGCACCGTTGGTCTTGCACCGCCGAATTTATTCTCTGCGGCAAGACCATAGATGTCACGTGTTGAAAAGTTCTTGAAATCAAGTGCCAAGTACCAGCACATGTTTCTCGAGTAGATTAAGCGCAGCGATGTACAGAGTGCGACGCAGTTAGCATGAACGAACGATTGCCGGTCTTTGCTGCTTTTCTGTCGCAGTTGAGGCAGCGTCATTAAAGCTACTGGTCTGGTAAAAGATGCTCATTTGGAGCACCACCCTCAACGATGCGATGCCTGCCAATGCACCTTTAAAGTAAAATTACAAAAAGTGCCGACGTCGCGTTTTCGCTAACAGTGTCGCACTGCGTACGCGGGTGCATTGAGTACTGCAGCATATGTTGAGCATGAAGTAAGTAAGCATCCAAGTATTTTGAGCCTAACACATTAAATAGTGCACCATATAGTTTATCTGCAAAATACTCAAAATCGTGCACAATTCGTACCAAGCTTACATACTAGCTTAAGCAAGAAGGACATTGAGTACCTTTCCCACAAAGCCTTCCATTCTTTCCATTCTAGCAAAGCAGGAGCTGGAGAGGAGGATACCACCAATTGTGCCAAGCAGAGAGCTTTATGGGAGGGGCTTGCCCCACTATTCTAAACCTGCAACAAACTTTACCCCTATCAAATACTAGTACTAGTAGATAGTGGCATCACTAGGGTCAGCAGCACCCTGGGCAGGCCTCCCCCTACCCCCTTGTGACACCACTGCTAGTAGAATGCACTTCAAGGTGTATCCAAACGGCAGTCGAATTCGGGCACAACCATTAAGAGCACGCACCCGTGCGGTCTCCCTGGTCAACTCTCGACCAACTTTTTGGACCATCTGCGGTGCAGGCGCATCAGCCTGGCGGAGGCGTTCCTGGGCGCAGACGCGGTGCTCAACACCCTGCAGAATATCTCCGAGGGCCTGGTGGTCTACCCCGAGGTGATCGAGGCGCACATCCGCCAGGAACTGCCCTTCATGGCCACCGAGAACGTCATCATGGAGATGGTCAAGGCCGGAGGGAACCGACAGGTGGGTGCATGGGGCCTTCTCAATGTCCGCGAGGAGGCGCTCCGACCCCAGGGGGGTAAAGGCAGAAGCGGAATGCAGCAGATTGTAAACGCTGACATCGGTTATTCCGAGAGAAAGAACGAGAACGACGGAAGGCTGGAGAAAGGAAGCAGACAATAGCTCGGGTTCGTTTTGCCGCCATGAGTTGAGGTCGTTCCGAGTGCTCAAGAAGTCGTTAATTTGTATACAATGCGCTAAGCCGGTGTTTTTGATCCAAATAAGGCGAGAAAAACGTTAGATACAGGCCTCGCAAGTGATCTTTTTCTCCTCTGTGCATATCAAAGCGTCGAAGGCAATATGGTCCCATTGGGACCACCGATAACTGCGTCTATGCTTCGCCGTTCCGAAGAGGCCGAAATGCACGGAACATTTCTCTCTAGAATGTTACATTAACTCTATGTCCGACATCCCTCCCAAGAAGATATCATCATCATCATCATCATCATATACGGCGTGTTCCTGAGCGCTGTTCGAGTGTAAAAAGTTCACATAAACAAATCAGTAAACCGAGTGTAATGAAACTTGTCGCAAAAATGGCTTTAGGTAGTGGATTGATCGTACTCAAATTTCGTGAGTGTGGATTTCAGGGAACACAATTTATTCATAAAAAATCCAGTTTCTCTCCATGCACAGGGAGGAAAATGAAAAAAATTAACCGCCGGGTCGATGGCACCACTTGTTCGGATCTGGCTGGATCTGCTTTCAGGTAAAGAAGCTTTCACGTTTTTGCTCACGTTGTGCCATCTGTGAGCAAGACCATTAACCAGATGGTATATACCGTTTTCCTCTTGCACATAGGAGGAAAGTGGATATTTTTTTATTCAATATTTTTCCCTAAAAGTTACACTCGGGAAATTTCAGTATGATAAACGCACAGTTGTCTAAAGACAACGGTGTGAAATGTTTCATTGCACTCAGTTTATTGGTTTGTTTATACAATATATTTTTTACACTCAGAAACATCCTGTGCACACAAAGCTGCGTTATAATATACCACGCCCAGAAAACGCAAACAAGATGTGGAAACGCGAATCTGCTGCGTCGGCCACTTTCAGTATTCTTTTCCGTGACACAGGAGTTTGTAGCGAATTCCCGCGTGTCTATCGCATCGTGAAACGCGAATTTGCCGTGTCCGCAATCTCCGATACCAGTTCCCGCGTCACGTGGTTTGTAGCGGGTGCCCCGCCGCTTATCATTGATTTTTGATAAAGTTTTGCTGCGGCATCCCCAAAGATAGCCCACCTCATGTTTTTCACCATTTCTCAACTCATTTTGGGTGGGCGTCCTTATGGGATTTTACGGTAGACGGGACACAGCGTAACTTCCAACGGTCTACTTTTCTGTTCTCGTCCACCATTTTCTTGGCATAGTGCTTCGTAAGAAATAACTAAAGCTTCGTGTAGAAACTCCGAGACAGACTCGCTGGTCAAATTTTAATTTACGAAAATTGGAGATATAGCAAAAATAAAATCCGAAAGCCTCCGAATGTTCGGAATAAAATAAACTTAAAAATACTCCCTCCGAATTTCATGAAAAATTAACTGGGAAAACGCGGAATCCCACGAACAACCAACTAGCCATCTTAATACAACTGGGTTTCTAAGAGCCCTCATCTGGAGTATGCCCCCATGTGAAGTGTGCTTCCAGTTAACTCAAAGATGCAAATCGTCCAGTCATGCGTAACCGTGCACCGAAGACTCTCTTGTACATGAATTATTGTTTACGTCCATAGGCTCGTGCTGTCGGTCGAGAGAGAAATGGCTGTTCCTCGAGTTTAGGTTTCAGAACCCCTGGTCTAGCTTAGAGAAGGCCAAGTATAGACCAACACACCGTTTGCAGACGAGTGTTTGCCCAAGGCACGTGTGGACATCACACGTACGCAAAACTACAAAGTGTTTTTGAGCGCTATTTGGGTGTAGAATAAGTTTGTATACATAAACCAATGAACCGAGTGCAATGAAACTTTTCACAAAGGTGTGTTTAGGTTGTGCATTTATGATACCCAAATTTGACAAATGTAGGTTTCAGAAAAACATTTTAAGCCTAGAAAAAACATTTTTCCTTACGCACAGGAAGGAAAACGGCAAAAACCCGTCTCGTTGACACTGCTACTTACAGATGGCACCACTTAAGCAAAGACGTGAAAGTTCTTTTCAGATGAATTCCTGAAAGCAGATCTGTCAGGTTCAAGCGTGTCTGTGGTACCCTACCTGCGAGTAGCAGCAGTTGCATGAAAAAGAGAATCACGTTTTTTCAGGCCTAAATTTTTTTTCCTATAACCTAAACTTTTAAGATTTGAGTATGATAAATCCACCACCTAAAGACATCTTTTTGTGAAAAGTTTCATTGTACTCCATTCATTGGCTTATTTGTAAGAAAAACTTTTTACGCCTAGATAGAGCTCGAGAACACGTAAGTTTGCGTGAGGTGAGGCGTCCGGTGTGCATGCGCCGCGTCGACAGCGGCGCCATCGCACTGGCACGACGTCGGAGAGTGGAGTTGATGCTTAAATTGACACTGCCTCGGGGCTTTGTCATCGACGTAGGGCACGAGGGAGCCACAACCTCGCGTGTTCCTCCGCAGGACTGCCACGAAAAGGTCCGCGTGCTGTCCCACGAGGCGGCAGCCCAGGTGAAAGAGAAGGGGATGCCCAACGACCTGGTGGAGCGTATCCGCGCCGACTCCTACTTCGCCCCGATCCACGTCCGCCTGGACTCGCTCCTCGAGCCTTCTTCCTTCATCGGCAGGGCGCCCGAACAGGTGCGCCACTTTGTGCTCGGTGTCGCATGTTTCCCCGTGTCGCTAGTGACTAAAATGCTCATGTTGCCCATGTTTGCATCAGTGTACATATCGCCCGTGTCACATTGTGTCATGTTATTCTACATCACATTTATTACAAATAACGTGTTCTTTGTCACACATTATTTTGTGTCACATGTTGCATTGTGTCACAAGTGGCTAAAATACTCCGTTGCCTGTGTCACAAGTTGCTTCAACTCACGTGGTTCCATGTCGCATGCTGTTCCATGTCACACGTTGCCCCACGTTCCATGCTCAGTGTCGGGCAATATTCTACGCCACGTTTCGCATAACATGTTGTTCCCCATCGCGAGTTACTCCAACTCGCATGTTGCATGTTGTTTGCTATCTGCCACACGTTGCTTCGTGCCATGTGTTGCTTTGCATCACACGCTGCTTTGTGTCATGGGGAATTTCTTCGGTAGATTTGGAGCGATCCAAAAGCGTTCCATGCTTGCGCATTTACTGCGGTAAATGCGAGCACGCGCGAGACACCAGCCGAAAAGCGTTCCAAAACCACTCCAAATCCACCAGGAGAATTCCCCATCAGATATTGCCTCAGGTCCCATATTTCCTTTCCTTAAATGAACTTTTGGCATGTGAATTAGGTTGCACCTCTTTCGTTGAACAGGACCATGCTGCCTGACCTCTGTTATGCTTTCTGAATATAATTCTAGCGTTTAGTGGTACCACAATGAAGCCACCATGTTACCAGTGCCCAACGGTGCTTCACATCGACTGGCATAACATTAACAAGGCTTTGCAGTGCCATAGTGGTAGCAAGGTGCCCTTACAATGTCATGGATAAACACTATCGCAATGTCACAGTCTAACCATAGCAACAAAATAGCTCCGATGTCCTTTTAGGCTTTCAGCTGACCATCCTCTGGAATACAGCGCATCCGCCCATTCCCAGATATCTAAGATCTGAGAAAATATGCACAGTACATTTATACGTAAAATTGATGACCGAACAGTGCCCATCCCCCATTTTTTTGCGATTGTCTCTAAATTTTGAATGGACGCTTGCCCGATATCTTATGGTAGGTGTGTGCTCTTTTTTTGACACCAAGCTACCTGTTGTTGCTGCTGCTGCAATCTTTTGCTAACATACGAATATACCTGTTTGTCGTTTTGTACAGGTCAAGGAGTTTGTGGAGAATGAAGTGACTCCTGCGTTGGAGCCCTACAAGGCCAATCTGGCTGGAGAGTCCAAGATTCACCTTTGAGGGCCACCAAGGCACTCCACGCGCCACACAGCAAACCCCGCCCCCAGAGCGCAGATGCTATATTTTTCTAATACGCTCGCCACCACGAGCACTGCCACTCTTGGCGGGAAGATTTGTTACTACGTTATATATTTTGAAATAAAAGAAAACTATGAACGGTGTTGGGTGTGAAAGTCAAACCGTGGCCTCTTTACAATGCTAGACGAAAGCAGCAAAGCAGGTAAAACAAAATGGTGCGATTAAGATGAACTACTCTGATGCAATTTATAGGTAGAAGCAATACTTAAAAAGTTTGTGTATCGAAAACTATGGTGGCCTTAACTTGTATAAATCTTTTATACCTCTGTCAGACGGGCTCCTAAAATACCATTTAAGCCAAATGACACTCGGTACAAGTCGGTGCCACACAGCAACTCAAATGACATTTGAACTAAATGGCATTTATTTAGCCAAAGTGCCATACGAGTTGTCGTATTGCACCGACTACATCGCATTTAAACTGAATGTCATTTAGCGTAAACCACATTTTAGGTGGCTGTCTGACAAAGGTGTTAGCGTGATGACGGACTATTTCGTTTCGAGGCACTTGTTCCTTTTTTTCTCTGGGGCACTGTCCACCTGCACACCCTCAATTGCAAAATTTCTTTCATTTGACATATAGTTTGTTCAGTGGCACTTTGAAAATTTAAAAAAATATTAAGCCTGTTCTAATATACAACATTCTTGCATTATGGTACTTTGATATGCTTCTGCAACTACATACTACTATGCGTTCCCATAGAACTGCTATCAACTATACCACAGATGTCAGTGCCCACGGTTAGCAGGTGACATCAGTCATTCTCTGTCGTACTGCGATTACTATGACCGAATCTCAAGCATAGGTGTCAGCATTGTGTGGGACGGTGTGCCTCGCAAGCTTACATTTTAAAAAGATGGATAATTGTACATCTTTCAGAGCATTCACTTAACTTATTAATCAAACCACCCAGGTATTTTTAATTAAACATAAAATACTCCTTTTCACTATTGTGCAACTCGCAATGTATGGGATGCAAGCATGTTTCAGCTTCAACACATCTGCTTCAGTTCAGCAAACTGCAGTGGCCCCAATTGATCTATTAAATTTCTTGTCGGTTCGATGCTCGACAAAGAATGATCCTGATCGCAGCTTGCTATTCAGCCCATGCACGGCACGCCAATGTCTATGAATAAAAGCAGCTATCCAAGCATGCAGACACACACATAGGAATTTGAGGTTACAATTTTACTTCCTCTTTTATTTGGAGGGCATGCTCCCATTTATACATACAAAAATTTAGGCACCGGAGTGGTTGCGACAAATCTGTACACTCTCAAAAGACAAAAAAAAAAATTATCTTTACGTAATCGCCAAATGTGTCTTGTCGTGAATGCTGGAATGTCAAAGCAGATTCGGTGGAGGGTCTACTTTGTAAAGTGTAGCATTGAAATTTAAAAAAAAAAAATGGCAGTCAACCATTTACAAATATTACCAAACAATATTACTAATAGCATTTTCCATGCATGAGAAAAGTACAGGTTTTGCACAGCTTGACTTTCGCTCTTCGAAATAGTCACCTGCGAGAGATTTGAGTGCAGGCACCGGTATGCAGGCAACAGGGCGCGCCCAACTGCCGATTAGGCGGACGATCGCTTCCAGAGGATGACCATGCCCTGCGCATCACTGGACGCGAGCAGCGACTCGTCATAGTTGAAGCAGACGTCGAGGACTGCCGCCGAGTGGCCCTGGAGCTTGTTGACCAGCGGCTTTGCCCGCTCCACGTCAAAGAAGTTGACGCACTGGTCCTCGCTGCCCGTCACTGCACAGGCGGCCGCGACACACACAACATTTCCACTACCGATTGGAAAAACCATGACTGCCTACAGTTTGGGGTCAAGGGTGACGGGTTCAGGGTGATGGGTCAGGCACGACGGGTCAGAGGCAGTGGGTCAAGTGTTATGGGTTAGGAGTGCGAGGCCTAGGGCAACAGGTTTGGGGTGATGGGTTTATGGCAATGGGTTCAGGGCGTTGTTTCAGGCACGACAAGTCGGAGGATGTGTTAGTGGCGACGGGTCAGAAATAACTGGTCAGGGTGACGGGTAAGGGGCGATGGGCCAGGGGTGACGGGCCAGGGGCACGGTGTAAAAGATATTAAAGTGTGAACACCGCATGCGTTCCAGCTGCCGGATAAAGTCCTCTGCTCGCCTTGCTTGCAAGCGGCGACGCCAGATGGCTTGTCGATATGCAGCTAATGGCAGCCTGCCACGGGCTCAGTTTCCCATGCTTCTCTATGCTTGTTTTAGTCGTTTTCTGGATGCACTGTATCACGTGGAAATCAGCACTTGCACTATGTGTGTTGCTTAGACACTGCTTGTCCTTGAGGCTAGTTTCATGCCTCAGTGGTGGCGATACGTTTTATTAAGATGTTGAAACAAAGAGATTTCTGGCGTGACGTTCAAGCCAGCATTCGTCAAGGTCAGAGCAGATGCTCCGACTGGAAAGAGTACGTGTCCGATGGCAGAGACGTTTTCAACTTTGACTATGTTGGCATGCCAAGAGGACTTTATCTGGTTGATCGCGTTGCAGTGTTCGCTGTGTTGTGTTCCCTCACCTATAAATATCTTGCACCGTGATCAAGAATAATGGGTCAGGGGTGACGGTTCGGGTGACATGTCAGGAGCGACAGGTCAGGGGTGATGTGTCACGGGTGATGAATTAAAGTAAAGTTATAAACTTAAGGGATTCACTAGTGTTTATAATCTTAAGCACCAGTCAACCAAGTGGAAAAATACTTCTGCAGATACTCCGGTCTGGACACCGTCTCAACTGATGGGAGATCTCTAATGCTGACTATCACAGCGTTCTCTTTGCAGTTAAGTTCAGCACTCGAATCTGGGCCTTGACACATGCACGCCAAGATGTCTTTGCAGCAGAACAAAGGAAGGGCGTGAACCCACCTACGCAGGCACCCTGGCGGAAGGACATGATGGGGCAGAAGGAGCTACGGACGGGGGTGCGGCCACGGTGCTTCACGTTGAACTTGCGTTTGAGCAGCAGGCTGCCATCTGCACCCTGGACGCTGGAATCGGACAAAGACGGGGCCCCGTCTCAACTTTCTTTTCTCGTTCCTCTGCAAACCGGCTCTATGTGCTAGAGCAGAACTTCCCCACAGTTTGTTTCTCGCAACGCTGTGAAAAGGCGGGAGTGTTTTACGGTCCAGTTACCTGTACAGGACGAGGGCATTGGCGAGCCCGCAGTTGGCAAGCAGGGACGGGTTCCTGGCCTCGCGGCTTGCCCAGTGGCGGGCCGACAGACACGTGATGGGGCACTGGTCCCACACCAGCAGGCTGCGTCGTAGAGAGAACGTCGCGTGCCACTTGGTAGCGTCGCCCTACCGATATATCTATATCTACTTCCGCTAGGGCCTGGACCAACACAAAAGCCCAGGCACGGCACCTAGACCGGGATGGGCGACATTCATTGGCCCCGGCCTATCCAGGTACCTCCGGCTGGGCCGGGCTGGGGTCGGGTGAGACTTAAAGTCAATGGGCCCAGGCCGGGTTGGGCTTCAGAAATAGGCATGTGTAGTTCTCTAACACACTCTACCATATTAAAGTTTACATTCTGCAACAATGTAGTTTACGAGAGTTTCCATTTGGGGGTGGGCTAACCACGTTGAAGACAATATGCAGAAGATGCCTCCACTGCGCTTCTCTCACAATGTTGTTTGGTGGAGCTGTCAAATTCCAGCAATAAATGAAGATGCATCACAGTGTCCCTGAGCTAACGTATAGTCGGCTCTGCACCTACGAGCTTAAGTTTGTAAAAATGGTGGCTTCTGTAACTAGGCGTGTAATTCGGAACTAACAGCGAGCAAACGACCTCTGGGAATGTGGAGGCTAATATGAAAACCTTACTTTTTAAGCTAAACCTCCGTGAACGCAGAGGGTCAAGCAAACTAAAAGCCAAGTACAAAATGCACCCGACGCATAAGCAGCTTTGCGTGAGTGAACCGTTGTGTACTGTGTCCGGGAAATTGCGGTAAAGGACGCGACACCGGAAAACGCAAGATTCAGCTCACCGTTTCCCCTTGGTCAGCTTTCCGGTGGCGAGGTCGAACAGGTAGGACACAATGTAACCCTGCAAAGTCATGTGACGTGCCGTGTCAACTAAACTCTCTGAATCCTGAGAAAGTCGCGCCAAAGTCCCCGTATTGTTGCCATTTTGGTCCGTAAAACGAGCAGTTTCTTCTGGATTTTTCCATTCTAGATTCCCGGGGACAGATTACTTTATAAAGAAGTTTCTTGTGTACCGAGACTTTGTTATGCACACACCGGCGAAACAAGCGCACATCTTTGCACCGCCACTACATGTGGCGTCGGTGCCTGGAGGTATTGAAAAATAATTTTCCCGTCAATATGCGAGAAAAATGTAATTGAAAGAGATCTATGGAGTTAAAAACTTGCCAGGGCCAACAGCGGGCAGTGATGCAGACGAACAAATCGAGCAGCAGGGTGCGTTTGGCGTACATATTGATAGATGGCGTCGGGAGCAGAGTCGGAAGGTGTAGTCGACCAGTCAAAGAAAGTAGACGACATGCAGACGAAATCCGTCGAGAGAAAGAATGCCGCCGTTATGTAACCGCTTTTTTTTTTCAACTTCAGGTCTTGCTTTTATTGTTTGCATTTATTTTAAACCAAAGGTACTTTACAAAAACATTGTGTTCTTTTTAGTAAATCACGGTCGTCACAAGCAGTCTCAATAAGGTGGTAGTGCCATCTATCAATACGTGCGCCAAACGGGCCTTGCCGCTCGACTGGCCGTCTGCATCGCCACCCGCCGTTAACCCTGGCAAGTTTTTGGCCCTATTTTATACAAAAAATTACACCATCTTCCCGAGGGGAACCATGGGGTGATGCGGAGCATCGCGGATCGTTATTAACGGTGTTATTATCGGTCTTAGTAACGTTGTTGAACTTCACGGTCCTGAACCTCAGGTTCCGCTGCTCGACCTTCACGAACCAACGCGGCTTCCCGTTCTCGAAGGTCGGGTTCCGCCGCTCGCTTCGTACGTTTACGTTGAACTTTACGGTCCCGAACCTCAGGTTCTGCTGCTCGACGTTCTCGAACCGCCGCTGCTTCACGTTGTCGTAGTTCAGCATCCGCCGCTCGACGTTGAGGAATGGACGCCGCTTCTCGTTGCCGTAGTTCAGGGTCTGCCGCTCGCTTCAAGCGTTTGCGCTCAGCGTCGTGTCCCTTCGCTGCGCAGCTTTGTCTTCAGTGGACGTAACGTTGCTGTTAGTTTGTGGGGTGGTGCTGACGCTTGCTTGCGCCAACCCACTAACTGACGGGACTGTTGCTTCCATCACACTTCATCGGAAGAACGGAGTGAAGTGGAGTCAACAGCGGGTGATTTGAACAGCGCGCTACCGCTGCTTATATTCACACTTGAAGGAGAGGAGACTAGAGGAGGAGAGTTGCGCGCGCGGTGTGAGTAGAAGCGAACGCACGCGAGGTGCACGCAGCTGGTAGAGAGAGAGAACGAAGAGAGTAACGCGCAGCTGTTGGAGACAGGAAAGGAGGAGAGTTGCGCATGCGTAGTGTGAGTGCGGACTACGACTCCGCGGGACATAGACCCGAGCAAGAGATGCTCCGCATCTAAAAGGGAGCTATGCTTTGTAATTTTACAAGAAAAAAACGGACTTGTGAAATACACCTTCGACGAGAAGTTTAGATTGCTTCATGCAGGCATCAACTTTTACGGTCTATTTTAGATCGAGCCTGGTGACTTCAGACACCAGGCTCTGTGGTTCAAACATCAACCGAATGTTCACCGTCTCAAGGTATCGTTTTGTTCATTTCGGGACCGTCTGGCCAGAGGGACCGTCTGGCCAGAGAAAAAGAAGTAGTTGAAAAGAAAAAGGAGTGCGAGCTTCAAAACAAACAAACAAACAATTATATTTTTATAGGTTATGAAGGTGAACTGCTTCTTCGAAGCGTATCTCCATTGTCTGAAATACAGTCGAGTGCGGTTTGTGCGAGCACGTCCCCCGTTTCCCGACTTACCCTGTCGTCTCCCGCCCAGAGAAGCTTCCCCGTGGGGTCGAAGGTCATGCAGAGCACGCAGCCCGTCGTCTGACTGCTCCCACCCTGGAGGAGAGTACGGCATAAAAGCGACAGCTTAGACAAAGCACACGGCTGCCGCAGATAGACGAGCAATTGTTCGAGTAGCTCATGTTAGCAAGCTCGACTTCTCCACTACCTACCGCAATCCCTCCGTTACCTCAAACTGCGCTTCTCTTTGTACTGACAGTATGGGGTCTGATAGCGAAAATGAAACCCTGTTTTTTGGCTCGCACTAATAAACTGTGCATCATAAAAAGCCTAAACCACCTATATGGGAATGTAATACTAAAGGTGGCGATGGCATGTGGGCTTCAGAACAGCCCATTACCTAAATAAAAAAAATTGTAAAAGTTATTTACGAGTTGACGTCAAAATAGACCTAGTATTCATCAAACCGAGAATCGGGTTTTGTGGGTACCTGTAGCATTTTTGTTTGTTTGTTTCAAGACAATTTTGTTTTCTAGAACAGACTTGCCTTCAGGTAGATTCCGGTGGAGACGTTCAACACCTGCACAAGGCCCTTGATGTTTCCGGTCTTCAAGGTGGCATAAAGGTCAAGGCCGTCCAAGGTCGTAAGTGCACCAGTGACTTGGTACTGTTGCCATATTGTACGACACTCAAGCACAGCTGCCAGGAAAATTAATTTTTTAAAGCAGTCTTTCAGGTTGAACAAACGTCCCGCCTAGATATGCAGTCTCCGACCATGCAGAATATAGTCTGAGCATGTGCCAAGGCACTCAGTGTAGGTCTTTTGTACTGTAGGTTCGCGGAATCACACAAATCAATTTCCAAACCGTGTTTGTTGTAACTTTCCATGAAGATGCAACAGGGTGGTAAATTAATGTTTTAAACGCATTCAGCATTTTTCGGTCAAGATGACCTGACAAGCCATTTTCTCACAAACTATCTCAAATAAATATTCGATGAAACAGAATAAAAATAATGTAGTCCCAAATTTTCTGTCCAATAAATACTGAACAGTTAAGCAGCCTTTAGCTTTGTTTCTCGCAAAACTACTACCTCTTCTTTGCACGACAAAACAACAATTTCCAATTAAACTCTTGAACCAGGCAATCTTACAATTTCAAAGATAAAAAGCACATATCTATACGTGTCAGCTATCAAAACATGATTGCCCTTAGATAATTTGCGTCTTTTGCGGCGATCGCAGATTCAGGAAGGAAACGTTTCGGAACCTGGTAGGACCTTTGTCAGTTCAGCTGAAAAGACAAAGGACCTGCCAAGTTCTGGAACGTTTCCTCCCTGATTTTGCAATCGCCACAGAAGACCCGAACTACCTAAGGGCAATCATGTTTAGATATAATTACTCGAAAGCGCTCCTTTTTCGTACCAAGTTAGTTCATTGCATACGTATCAGCTAAACGCACGTCTGTGGAAACTTGTAAAGCACCTCGTAAAAGAGTTGGCGTATGTGTACGGATACTACTAAGCCAACAGCACATTAACACAACTTGGCACTTCCTTTGCAGATCAACGACGGCCAGCCAATAAAAAACAAAGGTGCTGCAGGGTGGAAGGATACGACGACCATGTTGTTGTTGGCTGGCTGGAAAAGGCAGGACAAGATGGCTGCCCCCCCGGGGTCCGGCACCGTGCGGACGCAGCCTCCGGACGTAGCATCCCACAGCTTGACCGTCCCGTCCAGGGAGCTGGACACCAGCAGGTCGTTGGACAGGGACCACTCAAAGGCTGAAGAGGAGCAGACGACGGCACGGGCCAGATGAACGGCCTTCGCTCCTTTCTTTTTTTTCTTGCAAGTTGTTAGGCAACGTTCCATCATTAGTTGAGTATACACTATATGACCTTTTCAAAATTCAGTCTGGCAACTTTGATCACTATAACCGTCTCGGCGTATGGCATCTATGTCAAACTAATGACGGCCCTCTTGAGGCTGATGAAGGAAGGAGTTCAAGGTGCCACCGAGCAGAGGATGTACGAGGCATGTACGTCCAAGACGTCAGTAAACGACACGACGCACTAATTAGATCGACTGCATATGTGTTTGTTTTGGACTGTCGACCGATCCATCTCTTGGTGCACATCGTCTCTAAAGCCTTTTGATGGCGGAAATTTAGTTGAGAGGCTTATGGTTCACCATTTTGTACCGGTTAAATATTATGTTTACACCGTCGAAACTGAAACAAATGAAAAATTACGAGGCGATTGGAGAACCGATTCTCACCTGCCACTGACGCGCGAAAGTACAGTGCCTGATGAAATAGTTTCATAACCTCCATTACCTAGTTGGACGAAAGTGAGACTGCTTTTTGTGCCACTAGATGTGGAAAGGGTCACATGCTGGAGGCCAGACATTCCAACGCCCTGTCATTCTTATTCTGTCAGAGACTGTAGTACAGGGTGAACTCGATGGTGCGTTCACCCCTTGAAGCAAGCATAAATCAGTTTCTCAACAGATTGTGACATGATTCAGTGTAGAAGCGTAATTGAACAGTGAACTTGTTTAGTAAAAACATAGAGGGATGAGTTAACTCGAGTACAAATTTATAAAGAAAAAAACATCTTTCCCCTATAAGGTAGGCAGTAAGCCTAGCCTGCACGAAACCATTAAATGACACGGTGCTACGTGCTCGGCATTTCGTAAAGCCCGACAAGCGGGGCCGCGAAGCTCGATTCTGATTGGTTAACGGGGGAGGTCACGTGACCAGAGTGGTGGGCGAGGAGGAATCCCACCACCTGTGCGCACTGAGGGAGAGGAGCTTGGAAAAATGGAAGGCTCTGGAAGGTCGCCAGGTTTATCGGCCCTGCGATCGTGAAACTCAAAGTATCGCTAAACGTTTGCGATAGTAAAACATTTCACGTATGCAACTGCCTAGCAATTTGCCATACATTTTGGCAAACTAAAGAGGTTAGAATGTAAGCCAATTATAGTTTTCTCTTCCACTCAGCTTTCTGTCGTAATAAAATTTTTCAATGGCACACAACGTGGCTTGATAATTTCACGAAAAGAACGCTTAACTAAACAAGCGTCCATAGAGAAAAATAAGTTTTTTTTTTTTTCTTTTGACTTAGGCAAGCTCATTTTTCCGTACTTTGGAAGAATATGTCATCGGATCCAAGCCGTACAATATGGGTGTGCACGCCTACAAATTCCACGATGTATCCAAGAAACGTCGGACGAACACTCACCAGACACCCCGGCGCGGTGCCCCTTGAGGTGGAAGAGGACACGTGGAGGGTCCAGGCGGCAGACGGAGAGGCTACCGTCCATCGAGCAGCAGGCCAGCAAGTGCTTCTCGTTGTTGGCAAACTTCACGCAAGTCACTGTGGCGCAAATTAAAAAAAAACGAAAGTCGGTGACTTTTCTAAGGCACAAACAAGCTCTGTACACTTAAAAAGACACTGAACCCACTGAACCCAGGAAAATGTTCCTTTTTTTTTACGTTAAAAGAGGAATGTCTCCAAATAAATGTTTGTCCAAAAAAAATGTTTTTTGCTAGGTTTAGTGTTTCTTTAAGGCCGGTTCCCACACTTGAGACTGTTTATAACCGAGTGCCTAAACACCCCTTGGGACCTCTTACGACAAAAAAAACACTGGCAGCATTTATACATGAAATGCTTGGCAGTCCTGTATATTTCTTTATTTTCCCATCAAGGTTTTTTTGTTTTTTTTTTTGGCTCAAAAAACTTTTGAGAATGTTATGAACAACCATCTCTCATAGACAGTATGTTTTATCTTGCAAATTCCGCAAAACCTTTCCTTTAAGTAAAATGCAGTTCCAAGGCCACCGCACAGATGGCGCCAGTGTGGCAATGTGTTACCTGGTTGTAAAAGATGACATGAATTCCGTCCTAAGCAAAAGCAAGTGTGTGAACGGGACTTTCTGTGTCGTGTTGAACATTCAGGTTCGAGTACTGTCCTACAGTCACTTGGCCAAATCCAAGTAACTCATTCTTTTTATTTCTGAACAAATTATTGGTCCACTCATTTCCTGCGTTGCAGAACAGGCACGAAAAAGCATGGCGTCACTATCGCCTTAATTTCCTTAGATCACGGGTTGCAAACTGGCCCTGGCTCCAGGGCCGAATTTAGCCGACTACCAAAAGAGAAATAAAAAAAAACATATTGAGGCTTAATGCATCGAAGAGCTAGGGCTAGGAGCAGAAAATCGCTCAAGGTTCACATTTTTTACCGTGCTCTTTCTGCAGCTTGAAAGCTCACCGTTTTGCCAAAAATGTCATTGGCACTCCAACATTTTTTTTTCTTTCTTGCAATTGGTGTGGGTTTACGATTAATGAAATTGAAAATGACACGGTCCCGTGAATTACGTTAGCACCACCGTCGTTGGATTGCATAAAAAGCCTCGGCTCCCTTAAAAAACTTTTAAGTTCAACACTCCTCAAGAAGAGCTTCTTGTTTGGTGGTTCATCACCTTCCTTGCTATTTTGGTAGAGGTACAGTAAAACCAGCATCCAGCTGTTTCTTCACTGGTCGCCAAGCATACCATCCAAAACACTTCTAACTAGGGCTAAAAGTAAGCTAGGAAGAAATAGTAACCTTCTTCTTGGTTGTCCCCCCCCACCCAAGTAAAACAACTTCAAAGCTAGTACTGCCACATTCCTTCCCCTCAAATCGTGCGTGGTAAAACAAACGAGGCAGAGAACGATCGGCAGGAAGCAGACGACTTGCCGGCGTCGCCGTGCTGGTCGAAGATGTGGTGGACACCCGCAAAGGCGTAGTTCTCCGAGATGCTCGTTCCCCCCACAATGGCCCTGCAAAGGCGGGAAAGAGTTGTCGGGGCTTTTCCCTCCCAAAGTACCAGCGGACGGTTGGTACAATTTTGCGAAAGACGCGACGCTTCGCAGACGCACCTGCTCGCGTCGGCGGCGTACGTCGGAACGAGGCCTTCGTCGGCTACGGACGGCCGCCGGTTCGAAGTGGGGCCTTTGCGACAGCTCTCGCCACTGGCTTGCAGACGGCTCTCGGCGGAATCGGACGTCTGCAAATGAGAGGTTCCGTACGGGCCACGAAAAATGCGGCAGACAACCGGGTGATGTGCGTGACTTACGAGGTGTCTCGCAAAACAATTTACGGTGCTTTCTTTACTGAAAAAAATTAACTATGCATTGCCGAACGCTCATTCTCCGCCCAAATGTAATGCTAGCAGTCAGAACTAACTAGCTTGTAAAAAATTTATAGTTGATTTTCTGAACTTTTTTAAGGGGCAAATGGCAGCAGACGGAGCAGTCGATTACGTGGAGTTGAATGGCGCCAGTTACAAAAAATAGGCCCTATTTTACCATCAAAATGTTCATAAAATCACTTGAAATGTTTAGATAACGGTTAGTTGTGGAACTGACATCTGGTGTAAACCGCCAGCGCTACATTTGGGCGGAGGCGGAGCGTTCGGCGACGGGTTGTTTATTTTACGGTGAAAAAAACACTGTAAATATTTTTTGGAACATGCGGTACTGTGAAAAACTTTGTGGTGGGTTTGCGCATTTTGCATAAAAACAGAATTGCGGAGAACGACTGCAAACGAGTTGCCTACAGCGATCGTGCGTGCGGTTCGTGGAAAGGTGCATCACCGATTCATAATCGTGAAATTTTATACCCGAGAAATCTTTTACGTAAAAGCGGTGAGAACAGCGTGTCACTTACATCCTCCCAAAGCAAATGTTTTGTCTGTGTGCAGACGTCGTTATGTGGTAAAGTTTGCTTGCGCGTGTTTTGAGAGACAAATCGAAAAACAAGTATACACCATTTTCATTTAGAAAAATTATACAATTTAGTCTTTTTTAAGCTCAAGATCGTCGATGGTGCATTCATGCGGACCTGCTTTTGAGTGACGTTTACTATTTTCATGGCCCTTTCCCTCTTTCCTAACAACTGCACAAACTTTCATGCTCACTCCATTTCCAATGTCTCACATCCTACAATTACGCACATTTAATTAAATGGCGTAATTGTTTTCACCTCAGTAATTAAATAGAGGTGAAAATGAGTATAGAGCTATCTAAGAAATAAAAAAGTGCCGAGTCACCTCGAGGGTCACCCTGCTGTTGCTCCGACCGCCCATGCTCCTGCTGCGGTTGCTTCTGTTTCAAAAACAAGAATAATTCACAAAATCTTACGAGTTACAACAACAAGAATGCAACCTACTGCCGGGCGACGCACATCAATGTGATGCCAAATTTTTTGGTTGCGAAGATCTGCTTACGACCAGGCGCATTTCAACCTCTCGCGATCTCTTACGACGAGAGAACACCCTGGCGCCATCTATCAGGTAGCCGTGGATCACTTGCAGCTTTCGTATATTTACTTATTTTTCTGCGCACCATTCTTTCTTTTTTGGCTGGACAAACATTGGACAATGTCGTAAATGACCATTTCTCGTAGAGAGCACAAACGTTTCATCTCGCAAATACCGCAAAAACTTCGCGCTAATGAAATTCAGTTCCAGGGTCACCTCACGGGTGGCGCCAGTGTCTTCTCTCGTCGTAAGAGGTCGCGAGAGATTGGTCCTCAACAAGAGTGTGTGAATGGGTGTTTCCAGGATGATGCATTTCAATGTGCTCGTGAATTATTCGGCCGGGCAGAGCTGTTTCCTTGTGACGCAGATTCCCATTTACCGTGAACGTGCAACCATCATACTTTGTACTTTGTGCTTCATTCTTCGGCACGCCTTGCTTTTCTTGAGCGCTCAGCGATTACTGTAGCACAAGACGATTAACATTAGATGCATGCCATCAAAATATTGGTGTGGCAGATTAACTGGGTAAGGAATTAAATATAAAAACTAAAACTCTTCTATAGCTAAAAAAAAAAAAAAAAAGTTTTTTTATTTGAATAATTAAGAAAAATGGTGTTTGTGTTGCGACGTTCATTTTTTGGAGGCAAAGAAACAATAGTGGTGTAGGAAAGACAGTGTGGTGGTACCGGCATCTCGGTCCTGTCAAAATTAATGGCTCAGTGTCCAAAATGCTGCCCTTAGAGGAGCACTGTAATGGCTCTTGAAATTGTCTTTTTATCCCACACTAAAAAAAAAAAAAAAAAAGCCCCATGCATGTTTTTTTTTTTTTTAATCTTTAACCAGACGTTGTGGCATGCTCCTTTTTGCGAGCTATATCTGAGAAGAGGGGTATGTCAGGATGTTTGCCAGCATTTTTAATTAAAAAAAAAAAGGCCATGCATGATCGAAATATTTTATTTCATAGGACACTTGGGGTACAAAGACGTAGTTTGTCGCCGTGAGAAGAATAACTCAAAATCCATTTTAGAGCTCCCTTAAATTTTACAAGAGACAGCCACCTTTAGACACCCGTAGTACTAGTTCTTAAATGGGCATTAAACCACTTTCTGTGATAGTCCATTTATGGTCATAATTCAGAGTATGGGCTCTAGGCATCCTAAAGAACTAGACGTTACATTCATGCTTAGTTCGACGTGAGCGCGTTGGTAAAGTTAAATAAAACTTTGTTTTATTTTGCATTCATGCATGGCCAATTTCTTTTATTGAAATCGGTATCAAAAGTCTGACTACCTTGGAATTATCAGACACCACAAGGCGCCGTCGCACGAGAAAGGGCAGGGCTCTGGATGGATGGATGAGTATGGCTGAGCCCTTTGGATTGGGCGGTAGCTTACGCCACCTAGCCATTTTGTTTTACCATTTCAGCTTAGAATATTTAAATGTGAAATCTATATTCACTCCGCACTGCAAAGAAAGTGAGGCTATAAAACCCCATTTCCATCAGTTAATAAGAAAATACCTAGTTTTCTCTCGCTTTCTGCCACCATTCACTAATATTTGCTTGGTAATCTCTACAGTCTTGAAATCCACTCTCCCTTCGCTGTCTCTAAAACCCAATGACTTTATTAAATCCATGTTGTCTTCGATAGGCATAGGGTGAAGCCCTTTACAGTAAAGTATCAAGTGCTCAGCCGTCTCGTCCTCCTCTCCACAAGCAGTGCACAATGTATCCATTTCCTGGTACTTCACTCTGTATGTTCTGGTTCGCAGAACACCCGTCCTCGCCTCAAACAACGATGAGCTTCCCCTAGAATTGTCATAAATGCTTTCTTTGGAAATAACTGTTTTGTTTAATCTATAGCTTTCCAGAGCCGTCTTTGTCTGCATTCCCTCTAGCCACCGATCTCTTTCTGTGGCCTTAACTTTCTTCTTAACTGAGACTTGCTCTTCCGTATCTTCGCTATAGCCCAAAAACTTTCCTCTTAATTTCCTAGTGCGCTGTCTCCACTTTGTGTCCACACTCCTCACGTATAAATAGCTGAAAACCTTTTGTGCCCATTGCTCCCCATCCATTTGCCTCAACCTATCCTCAAATTCTATCTTGCTCACCGCTTCCCTGCATTCCTCATCCAACGTCGCCATCTGGTGTCAATCTTTTGACACCAACTTTAATAGAGAAATCAGCCATGCGTGAAGCTAATGTTTGGCTTTTTAGAAGAGCCCATAGATTGAGTTATGACCCTAAATGAACAATTGCAGAAAGTGGTTTAGTGCCCCTTAAGTTGTCTACAAGATATCTTTCAAGATGTTTTGTAGACCAAATCTGATGGTGCATTAGGGGAGCAAATAGACAGCTAGATATGACATTCCATGCTGAGATTTTAAAGCCTTATTAGGCCATTTATGGAAGTCTGATGTATCTACATGTCTTCCAAAATATCAAAAATGCTGAGATGCCTACGAGAGGTCTTTAAAGGTGTCTTGTAGCTAGGGTGCATAGCTGAACTACGCAGAGCGCAAGTTCGTCTGCTTCTTTTGCAAGGATTACGGTGACGTCAGAGTGCCGAGCTCTGATTGAAGGATAGTGGGTAGAGCTCAAAGCAAGCTGGCTTTACGTCTACCCACTATCCTTCAATCAGAGCCAATCAGAGCTCGACGTCCTTATGACGTCACCACAACCCCTGCAAACGAAGCAGACGAACTTCCGCTCCGCATAGGATGTCTGTAGTGATGAACCTGGCCAAATCGCTTACAAGAGAGCCTGCACATCTAGCCAAGGCGTCCTTAAGACAACAAATAGATGTGCCGCTGTTCAGTGATCACTGGTCATGTAAATCTGCAAATCCATGTGATATAGTAAAAGAAAAAAGGGAAAAAAAACTTACGACTGCTCGAGAGCCAAGCCATATCTTTGAGCCAAGAGTTGACTCCGCAGACGCAGGTATTGCTTGCGGAAGGTCACACATTCGTGCTAAAGCCATAAACAAAATACAAAACAAAAATATACAAAATACATACAGCTAGGGTTATTTTGCCGTTTTTAGTGGCAAAATATTTTTCACGCTTTGGGCCTGAAAGCTTCACAACACAACACACTCAGACAACCATCCAAAAGCTATCCAATCGAAGTTTAATAGAGGAGCAAGGTTTTTAACATCACACAAACGTGCAAATGCAAATACCTCAGCTTTCTGTGATTCCCGAAGTAGCTGACTTCGCCTCCTGATGTAGAGTGTTCCTGCGAAAGAGGCGTAAAATCAAATACAATATTTGCAGAGATCGAACAGCTGATGAAAACACTCACTGAAGTTGGGATCATTTGGCGATCTGTAGGCATTGTATCTGGCGTCCAGCGCTAAAACTTGCTGCCATACCGCAGTGGCCATGCAACCCTAAGACGATCACACGATGAAATAAAAAAACCGCACTTGCCTCGACACGGCACAAACCCAGTGTTTATTTACACTCGGAACTCTGACTGGTTCAAGTGGGCGCAGGCGGGGCAGGCCGGTAGGGGTGCTGCTTACACAGAAAAACAAATAAAATAAATAACATCAAATGTGAAGGAAAAACAATGTCCCTAGATTCCCTGCGCCATCCCTAAAGCCTGAAAAGCAGACCAACAGTCTGCTTTTCAGGCCGAATCTCGCTTCAAGCTATTTGAATTCACAATTATTATAAGGATAATGTGTTTTGCTATATATGTGTTTATATATGTGCTATATGTGTGTTTTGCTATATTTGTTTTCGACTTTCAGCACCTTTGGACCCCACACAGACTGATTTGGAGAATTTGGATTGACAGCAAGGGCAGTTGAGCACAACAAAGTAAAGCACGTAGGTGTCGAAACAAAAATACACCACAAACTATTTCGGTACAATTAGGCAAGACACAACTAAGATCAAACTAAGTATACAAGTTTCAATGGGCGCGTTCAGTAGCGCCTCCCTTGCCTCCGAACGGAGTGATTCGAGTCGGAGTCATCGGAGCGCCTACTGAACGGCAAAAAAACCCGCTGCTCCAAACCTGCTTCTACGCAATTTCCGCTTCCTCCCCTGTGCCAGACACCGGCGACTAGAGAGAACTTCGGCGCGCACTTTATTGGATGAAATTTGGTGACGTCACGACCAATAGGAGCACGGAAACAGACGCGGTCTCCTCAACCCTCAACGCCCGGACGCCCGGAGAAACCGGAGAAACATCGGAAACATCGTGCCTGACGAACCGTCGTCGAACGAAAGGTGAGTGGTTTAAGTTTTCCTGTGATGTGATCTCTATGTGTGTTCGTTCCACGCGTCCGAGCTCTTTCTTCGTTTCAGATCTAATTGGCGCCGCTGCGTACATTGTTTGAGCCTGCGTTCACGATTAAAACAACCATCGCAGAAAGCTGAAAGCCCGCCGAAGAACGGCTGACTTGCGAGCTAAACCTAATTCAACAAAACCATTTGATCCGACAGAATAATGTGCTTGATCTTACATTTCATGTCCACAAAGAACTGCGCTGTCTGTCTTCGTTCCTGCATGTTTTATTCTTTCGTGTTTTTCAAATCTTTACCAACCCGCGTCCAATCGAATGCCCCGATCACAACAAATAGTTGGTCGTGCTCCGATGGCCCTTATCATCAGCCGGTAAGGCAGTTACGTTTTTCGTTTCTACATTTTGACCCAAGTAACGTCATATTCTCAAACTGTGAAATTCTATCACCACCTCTAGTTTCTCATTCTGGTGCACCGTGCACTTGCAGCTTCCTGCACCCCTGCGAGGTTTCCTGCGGTCGTACCCTGTATATTATGGATTTCTCGCCGCACGCGAGTGCTCTCGAAGGCGTGCTATACACTCTGTAACATAGGCTGTGTGCAGAAAAGGCACAGGCCCGAGCACAAAAGCGCCCTTTTTGCACGAGCAGCCGTGCAAAAAGAACATTCTGCGGAGCTACGCACTCGCACCCGTGCCTCTGCTGCACACAACTTATTAATAACCGAGCCGTTCTCGTTTTTGTTTTGCATATTACTGTGAAAGAAGTGTCATTGTTGTTTTCTTCTCAAACAAAATTCAGGCGCTAGACAAAAGCAAACAGATACGAGTCTGCACATTCACACCCTTTTCTCCCTTGTGCGACAGGTTATAGCTGGTTGCGATTCAACACCGTTTCTTTTGAAGCTGATGGGCACCACAAGGCGTGAAAGAGGTGACTTGCAGCTTTGCCAAGGCAGCAGCAAAACACTACAAGCCTTCGCATTAACTGGCTAGCCAGTGCCGCTCTGTTCTGAACAGCACTGCGTGCCGTGCAGAGGGTTTGTGCAAGCTCGCTGGGTGGCGACGCTAGCCACGGTAAGTGCATCCTATGCAGCTTTCTTTTAGGGATATATGTGGCTTGCAGGCCATGTCGTGCATGTGCCACCCGAGGGACAGCAGTGCCAGTGGCAAGGCTGTGCTGATGGTAATCACCACTGCACTGTGTTTTCATTCAATAACTACTGAAAAGGAACCAAGTACTTCCGAGAGAGTCTCGGTTGTGCTTTGATGAACTCCAGGTCGCTTATGGACTTGATGTCTGTGTTAACAATGCAACGAGACTTCTTTTTAGTTTGGGGCGTTGCAGTAGAGAAAGATGCAAAATAGTGTAATGCTTGCATTAGTTGCCTAAATTAATGGCGGGAATAACTGACCTACATTTCCACCGACAGCATTTCTCAGAGGAATAGCCTGGACTAGATAGCTCGCTGCACTATGTCCTTCCTCCTTAGCCTGTACAACTCGGCGTCTTTTCCTGATTGTCTTATGTGGCTGCTTTTGTGTTTGCCTAGGCACTCGGTTGAAATAGTGAAAGCTGTCTGCATCGCACATAACTGCCATGAAATCCAGTGTGGACGTAGCTGGGGTAGCTCCCAATATGGCTTCTCTAGCTCGACACAAGTAATGTTCCTACCACTGTCGTGTATGATGCCAATCCAAGATTGAAATATACTTGTGCGTTTCATTGCTGTGACGTCAAGCAGGCACATAGTCAGAATTTTGTTTTGGGGGCGGCAGCGGCGGGGCGGGTCGGGCCGGGCTTCATGAACCCCCTCTAGTTACGTGCTTGCGTCACGGGACGGGACAGTCTCACGGTTCGAGCGGCTGTGTAGAAAGGAACTATGCCCAGCATTTGTTTCGTGCTGCTGGGTGGGATTTGGGGCGACCTTCCAAAGCATTCTTTTGACACCATGAAACTGTTTGTGATCAGTTGTGAACAAAGTCTACAGCCATAAGAGTGAACCTTTGCCTTCGCATGACGTCTCAATTTCAATGTTGCCAGTAGAGCTTTTCACTTTGAAAAGCACAATGATGACCAAAATTGTAAATTCTGTAACTTTGCGAAAAAAAGCTATTTCGGCCAGATATTTCGGTTACTATTTCAGCGATGTTTGTTGATGTGTTTAGCAAGTTTTTAGGCAAATCGGGGACAATGACGAAAATGCTGGAGTACCCCTTTAAAACATGGAGTGCACGTAGTACACAATGGAGAAGTTGCTCGCCAATCATTCTCTTAGAAGTGTGAGTTGAGCCCCTTTGAGGCAGTTTACTGCCGCAGCGTGCACTTTAATCCGCCCGAGAAGGGAAAACGAGATGAATGACGAGTAGGATATCTTTGTTCCAAGGCTTCTTGAGACAGGAAAGGCTAGGGAACCAGTATTGTTGCTTCTTACTACCCGGTACGAGACTCAAACCCGACATGCAAGGAAGTCGAAAGGCCTCTTCATGTGCCCTCTTTCTGCTTCCTTGTGGCTTGAGTTTTAGCTGTGTCTACAATTCACACTTGCCTGCATGCCTACTCTTTTGGTTTCTTTTTTGTTCACTGTGTTACTGAAGTTTTCTGTCGTTGCTGTCCCAGAAATGCTTTCTGGATGCACAGAAATACAAGGTGCTCGACGCCTGCAGTTTATTGGTATTGCTTTTCCTGGTACCACGGCATGAAGGAGGTGGCCTCTCTCCCTTCCAAGCAGCTGCGACACTACAAGCACTGGGTTACAACTGCAGCTAGCCCATGGGTACCGTTCTGCATCCTGCACTGCATGTAGTTCCGAGAGCCATGTGAAAAGGCAGGTGTGACCTTTTTAGGCACTGTCACTTTGTTTTGTGTATTTTCTGCCGTTTTTTCGGGGCAACTTCTTTTTAAGATTCAAATATTAGAAAACAGACTCAAGTGAGAGAGGGGTTTTTCTGAGAAGACTGGCTTTTTTGCTAAACCATTGGGACTGGTATTATATCTATAGAGTTCATGTACACCTTACGTTATGTACTTTTTCTTTAGTTTTATTTTACTTGGTACTTATACTTCCATGTTACACGACAGCCACTAAAAAATTAAGAAAAAAAAAAAATGTTGACTTGTCGGTTTTTTTGTTTTGTTTTTTTGCAATATGTTGGAAGAGTCAATGATGTGGTCGGTCATTCATGTTATTTTTTCTACACGCATGTCCAGCCTATGTTTACATAAAGCCCCAATTGCCTCTTAGCAACGGAAATAATCTGTGCGACAGACTAGGCGGCAGCATTGTGGACGGAAACTGGCCTGATTATATCTGCCATGTTTAGAAACTACATTTGATGTCAGGTTATGAATTCAGTGGCAAATTCCCCCCAAAAGAATCTACGTCACTGCCAGCCAATCGCTGCCGTCAGTTGTCGTGACGTCACGTCCAGCAAAGAAACTGCAAACTAGTTTTTTTGTTTTTTTTAATGGCAGGCCTCTGCTGTTGATGCCACATAGCACGTCAACACTCAAGCAATTCTTCCGCTCTTGACCTCTCCGGTTTCACCTTGCCAAGTCGTGACGGTGTCTGCTTTTGTTTGCGGTATTTCCCATGTGTCGACGTGAGAAGGCAGCGGTTGTATCGCCAAGGAAGTAGCAATCAATCTGTGCATTTGCTCCAGCGGCACAGTGTTACAAACAGGACTCTTTCACCAAGGGCAAAGTCTAACGACCAGCCCTACAGTTGCCAGCATCGTGCAGCCGTGAATGCGTAACTTGTCTGAACGCTTTTATGCTTTCGTCTGTGTACAGTGGCAAAATGACTCGCTGAATGCGAAATGCCGTACAGCAAACTACAGTAGAGTCTCATTAATTCAAACTCCAGGAAGTCACAGATTTTAGTTTGAATTATCAGAAATTCATCTAAATATGATACTAGACAGCATTATGATTCGTTACATGGATAGCTACTCATACAAAGCAGATTTTTGCCAGTTTCCTCTACATAGGCCTAATTATAAGCAAGTACAGGCATAACACATTCGTGAAAGAGCTGTGACATTGAGTTTATTCATCCGGCAAAAAATTTGTCGATTGTGGACTGGACTGTTTTGTCAGCACATACGATCTCAAAATAAAATTTTCAATACCAGCCAACGCAAGTAGCTCTTTACGGGACTCTTCCTTTGCAGACAGAAACTTCCGGAGCTGAGCGATGTGCTCAAAGCTATGGCTGTGACAGTTGGTAGCAAGTCATCCCTTTCTTCATCGTCATCTTCACTCTCACTGCTGCACTGTGCTGGCATTACTTCCTGTACTATGTCCTCTAATGAGTCATCACGACAAACACACACATCATCGTCAAGACTACCATATTCCGCCTGCTCGGCGTTCACATTATGTGGTTCAAGGCCAGAAAGCACGATTCCAGTGAGCTGGTCCTCATCCTCGATGTCGTCTTGGTCATCATTGCTAGTCTTGAAGCACATAATGTGAACGCTGTTTTCCGCTAATGTGTGCCCGCTTGAGCCCCGTTGAGTGTGCTTCTTTATGAGCACCGGTGCACTGCGGAGAAACAACACTCGTGAAATCACGCTCCGCAGGCATCGCTTCTCTGCGGTGCACCGGTGCTCGAACAGAAGCACACTCAACGGGGCCGCGAGTACAAAAGTATGAATTAAAGGAGTCATGAAATGCTTTTCCAACTTTTTCCTGTTTAGCTTTCCTCTTCAACTCATAAATCGCGCATTCTACCAAGCAGTTCAAGAAGATGGAAACGGGGCAGTCCCCTCTTGCTCGGACTCTCGTTTGAGTACCGGGACACAGCCATTGTCCCCCTAGAAGATTAGCCCGTCGCTCAAAATTCAGACAAAAGTTGCTTTCCCCACCTCAATCACCCCGAAGCTGACAGTGCTGCGGAAGCTACGTGCTCGTCGGGCCAGCCACATTTCTGCCACAAGATCACGCTCTCCCGCGCATACCCATGCGCAGAGAATGAGGCCAGGTGATGAAAGGGAGGCGGCTGATTGTCTGGCAAGCACGTAGCTTCCACCACAATGTCAGCTTAGGGGTGAAGGGATTAAGTGAGGTCCGGTGCCGTGTGACGTGCATTTGGACCTGGTGACGCGCTGGGGGGGGCTTTGCAACGCGCTACGGGGACCGCGGATGTATCACAGTGAAAAGGCAGAGAGCTTACGAAGGGAAGGAGTTACGAAATAGTCCCTTGTGTTTTCGAATTTTCGTACCGAAAGTCAGGCATTTAACTTTCTACCTTTTTTCTTTTGGCCAACTGAATGATGTGTTATTAGTAAAATCCCAATATAAATTGATTTATTCCAGCCAAAATTTGTTCCATGGGCCCTTTAAGCAAAAACGCCGTTTGAATTAAGTGGCTTATAAATACATTAAAAACATAGCGGGACAACCAAAATTTTCAAGTCTGTTTGAATTAACCGGAAGTACGAGATATCAGTTTGAATTATCACAAACCTATTGTATTAATTACTTTCTGCAGCAACTTAGCGCTTAAAATTGCAATAAAGTGATTTTTAGGCTAAATTCATTTTTCTGGACTGCTCGATTATTCTGAACTTTGTGCGACCCCTTCATGTTCCGAAATATTGGTCAGTGACCGTAAAACTTAAACACAATGGTTACACACCACAGGTCCCGAGGACCATGACATCAATGAGCTGGCTTTCACCTTGTCCCAGGCAGCAGCGGAACACTATGGGTGGGACCCTGGGTCGACGCACCGGCCGGCTCATGGATGCCGTCGTGTACCCTGCACGGCACTGCGTGTGGCTTAACTGGCCAAGCAGAGGGTCATCGGATGACTTTTATGAGGCGTCGCTAGCTATTGTAAGTATATTTTTTGACACTCATGTCTGGTGATGTACTTTGGTGCTGTACAACTGAACACATTTGCTGGCAGTTCAGTCTTGCCAATTAGGCCACTTTGAAACGGAACACATTTAGTGGTGGCTGGGTTAGGTTTCCTGGCTCGGCAATCTTGTAGCAGTGTCTAGACTCGGCACAAACCTTTTTTTACTTCACTGTCAGCGCTAGTGTAATCTCTGCAATGCTGTCAAAGCAACTTCTGCACGCGAACAAGATGCAAGACGAAGCCACATGCTCGTGCCCAGTGTACGACTACATGTATACATGGGCACTCGTGCCCATGTGTACCTACTCGAAATGTGGAGCGAGTTCGTTTTGGCCGACACTCCATGCGTTGATATTTGCGTAGTATATATTTTTTTTTTGTTATAAATGGCAGGTCTTGGCTGTTGATGCCACGGAGCACGTTGCCATTTGAAGCAATAGACCCTTTGCAAAACTCCCAAAAGGCTTCGTGCACCGCGCGATGAATAATGGGAGCCCTCGGTACGCTCCTCCCGCTACCACGTGATTACATGGCATACGCGAGCAGGTGCAGGTTACCACGGCAACAACTTTTGAACAGCCGAGTCGGGCGAGCGACAAGCCACCGGCTGCCCCTTTCTCATTTCTCTCCTTCGTCGAAACGCTTCGTCGAAACGCTTCGTTGAAACCTGCCACAGTTGCGGCGCTCCATCACTCAATTTTTGCGGACTATATTACGTTATGGACAGCACAAGGAAACCCCGGACAAATCGAAGAAACTCTTCAACGGGGCTGTGATGCAGTCGAAATCTACACCTCCACAATAGGACTCACCTTATCTCCCTCCAAAACTCAACTACTGGTCACATCCTCCAAGAGAGGACCTGACCCCGACCGAAAACTCATCAAAATCAAGCTACGGGACAAGGGAATTCAACAAGTTGATCAAATCAAAATTCTAGGAGTAGTATTCCAATTCAACGGTAAACCAGAAGGATCACTCAACCGCCTTCACGCCCAAATCAATCAGATCGCACATCTGATACAACGGACCACATATCACAGAACCGGACTCAAAGAGCATAATCTACTCCATATCATTGACGCCTTCGTCATATCTCGTCTCCTATACACACTACCGTACCTCACGACAACATGTACCCAAATCACTTAAATGTAAACGTTGTACCCAAATCAGAAAGCTCGAAACCAGTCTCCGTAAACTGTATCGACTCGCCTTGGGAGTGCCGCGCTACACGTCCAGCGAACGCCTTCTCAACACGGGAACTTTCAACATCATTACAGAGCGCATACAAATGCACAAAGATGGGTAGATATTACGACTCTACCTCAAACTAAGGGCAAACAATTTTGCAGACACTAGATATCAGCACGGACTCACTTCCCCCAGTCCCCATACCTCCCCCTCCGTGGAAAAGCGCCAACCCAAATGTTACAGTAGAACCACTACCGAAAAACATGAACCCCCACAACAACCCTGAGACACGAAAACTCCGCGCCAAAGCCCACAAAAAGCGAATATGCTACCTACATGAGACAAATCACGATATGTATTTTGCTGATGCCAGTCACCAGGTCACGCATATAGCTTTCGTTAAAGGGCAACTCCGCTCAATTTTGAAAAATTTAGGCTTATATGCGATTCCATTTCACAAAGCACTACTAAACAGCTCTACGTCTTCGGATTCGCGAAATGTGGAATATTATTTGTGTAATCCTAATTTAAACAACAGCTGATACCGAAACCGAAACTTCGGTTGCGTCAGGCAACATTGGTCTCACGTCGTCAGAGTCATGGCCACGTCACGTCGAATCACATGGTCTTGTGACGCTTGCGGGGGCGAGGGACAGGACACGCGACGCGGGCAGGTTGCTTCGCATGGCGTGGACGGTGATGGCCCGGGGGAGAGGGGGAAGGGGAGAAGACGAAAGAGAAGGGGAGCGGAGAAACAGACTGATGAGCACGCAGGGCAATGCAAACTAGCACATCCACGTGGACGCTGTTCAGCCAACACCGGGAGGAGAAACTCATGACATCATCGTTCAATTTTGCTCTGAGAAGTAAAAACAAACGAAACGTGAGAATGATGTAGCCATAGTGGCTCATTGTCGGCTACTTGAACTCCGTGGCATTGACTGCACTGATGATTGCGCCTCCCGCCGCATGCTAGAGTTGGCAGATTTCGGCCACTTGGCTCACTTGAAGGTTTGCTGGCCAGTTTAATAAATATATAGACGGAATTAGATCGTAATATTTGACATGGGGTCTTCCTATTCGCGTCTCCAGCTCGACGCTCGCCCTCCCGCGGCGGAAACGGGAAGCGCTCTAGTGAGGGTCCCCCGATTCTCCTGCTCAGCGGGCATGGCGGAACTGCTCGCGATCATGGCTCGCGAAATGTCGTTTCCGAATGCAAACAACACTCTTCACTGTCCCAACGTAGTGCTCCAGCCGGTATGGGATTGTGCCTTACTGGAGAGTTTTAGTACTGCGCATAGAAGCAAACGCAAGCGGTGTGCGTTTGCGTTAGAGTTGCGTGCCCCACGTTGTGCGTGCGCCTCATCGGCTTGCGCCATCCAAGACCACAATTTCGGACTCCACGCACGCGCAGTGTGGAACGCGCAAAGCTAACGCAAACACACAGGGCTTGAGTTCGCTCGTATACGCAATATTAAAACTCACTACTGTTTCACCGGCTTCCAACGCCAACGAAACCTGCTGCAGTGAGCAGACGTGCAAGCAGGTAGGCGTTCCTTCGAACTGGAAACGCTGAGATTGGCAAAACGATGGCGAGCAAATACAAAAGTAAATAAATGTTATGAAAAAACTAGTAATTAAAAAAAAGGCTTTTTTTTTTACTTTTGGGCATTTGGTTTGGAAGTAAATTGGCGGCGACTTTGGACGTTTCGCCGATTGTGAAAAGTCACGACTTTGATAGCACAATATACTTTACCCACAATTAATGTAATTTTACATGGATTTCTCACATTAGCTAGAATGTTTTCATTGATTTTAGACTATTTTTATTTTATTTGTAATTAAAATGCAGCAATTGGAACCAGTGATGATAATTAGCAAACTTTTCATTGTCATATTTCTTCGCGCGTTTAAAATTAGATCATAAGCAAAAAATTATATTAGAGCTTGAATAATTACTTATTCAAATATGCGAATTTTAATATTATTATTATAATACAAATCGCGGCAATGTATGCCTCTAATTAACGCGAAGATCACGACAATACTCCATTTAACCATAATAGTCTTTCCAGAAAGGTATAATTCTGTTTTCTTTTTAGCGTATGAAAAACTCTTACATAGTTATCAAGATAGACAAACAGCTAAACGCTGGATGTAATATGAAGTCCTACGCGTCACGCGGTGCTATAAAAACACACACTCACACTTCAGCTGTCTGACTCGGATTTCGTCTTGGGTTGTTGCAGTGAGAGCAGCGTTTATTAGTTTATGCGCTTCGTGGACATATTGTAAAATATGGAATTATTCTCTTATTCTTGTGCTGGGATAATTGTCATTATTTCCCATGACAATTATCTGAGCGAGAAAAAGGCAGCGAGAACGCACAGATATCAGCACTGATTTTTTCAATAACGACGAATATGAGCCTGGATCGAACAGTATGTCACAAAATAAAGTTTCCGCAAACAACTTTTCTAAGTAAATAATTACGATGTGAGACATCTTGAGTCATGAAAGAATCCGAGATTAAGACATCTGTCGAGAAATTAAATCCAAAATAGAGGTATGTTTCGGTTTAGCTCCAAAATTAAAACGAGCATCCTTCCGTAATTAATACGCTAAACACCGTTCTTGTTTTCGGGTTAAAGAGTTGACCTACGCTCGTAAAACATTAGCTTCCTCTAATTACCAGAAATCATTTTTGTCGCTCAGTAAAGTCAGCACACTAGACAGGCTCAACAGCGGCGCGCATCTCTGACCCTCACTAAACCCGCCATCTTGGAAAATGAGTGGCGCCACCTATAGTTAGTTGGAGTCGCGAATATGATACTGAAGAGAGCTACATAGTTTTCTAAATATCGAAAATGAAGCGGAGTTGCCCTTTAACACACGCACTAATACACATTGCTCCGAAACCTTCACAAAACCTTTAACGATCGACGATTTGGAAGAATACGAAACTACACCGACAACACCTTACACTTAAAACGGATAACCTAGTCTGTGAAATACATGTCCGCTACCTGGACAAAAAGTTCCGCCTCGTATGGACGCCTGGCCACCAAGGCGTGGAGGGTAATGAGACAGCCCATCGTCTCACGCTCGAAAACTCCCCGGGTCCCGTCTCGTCATGGCCAGCTATCTACTCGGTAGGCGCAACAAGGAACGCTCGCAGAGCCTGCGGAAGTCGAGGTTAAAAGAGCAATGTGAAGAGCGGACCATTTACCCTCACCCTCCAAAGACCATGTCTAGGCAACAATCCTCCCTCGTCAGGCAAGCCCAGACCAACTCTCTTCCATTGCACTACATCTTCCACCACATCTACAAACGACCAGACTCCCCCACCTGCCCAAAATGCGGAGAATACCCTTCTATCCCCCATACCTACTGGTCTCGTAACCCACCCACCCTTCCCCCAACCCTCTCACACATCATTTCTTGGGAGGAATGGCTGGCTCTACCCATGGGCATTGACATACCCACCGCACTAGAAGCACTAATTGATCACTCCAGTCCCCTTGCGGAATCCATCCGCGAGACGTGCGCCGGACGGACCGTCCGGACCAAGACGTAGGCCCTTACACAAAGTAAAGTTTTGCTTGCTTGCTTGCTTGTGGTGCAAAATAAGTGGATTCGGTGACACTTCAGTTACGACGAATAACGTATTCAAATAAGCTCACCTGTCGTAATGCCTTTACGCTGTTACAGATACAGTACGCCGCCAAACGGCTTGGCGGATGGGCGGGATGGCTGCAACGGCTGCTGGCGGTAGCTGCCGGGACACGTGGGCAGTCGCAAAGGAGAAAGTCGTGATCTGTACCGAGGGTTCCCGAAATTCCCTGATGGGCGGGATGGCTGCAACAACTGCTGGCGGTAGCTGCCGGGACACGTGGGCAGTCGCAAGGAGAAAGTGCGTGATCTGTACCAAGGATTCCCGAAATTCCCTGCCGTCGTGGCGCTGTACGTTTTGCAAGGGATCGATTCTTCCGCTCTTGGCCTCCGGTTTTACCTTGTAAAGTCGTGACAGTGTCTGCTTTATTTTTTTGCGGTATTTCCCGTGTGTCGACGTGTGCGGTATTTCCCGTGTGCCGAAATATTTTTTAAACTGACGTTCGCTCAAGTGAGAGTTTACTGTATACTCGACTACTGTGCGTTGCCCCAGAGCCGTAAATGTAGAGAGTTTGGCCATTCGTTGGGAAGTATAGGAGACAAATGAAGAGGCGCCATTGGTCGAAAGCGGACTGGGCGTGTTCCAGGGCGTCTTCAGAAATTTGAATGTGACCAACCAGAAGCCGGAAATAATACCCTGGCATGGCGGTGGTCGCGAGAAACAAACCTGATAACTGCATTGGAGTAACTCTCAACGGCTGAAAATATGGTACATGCGATGTTTCAATCACGTTAATCCAAAAAGATGGTGGAAGAGTGCGACTAGCGGAAAGATCGATATAATCCTTACGCCAAGCACCCAGGGCCGGGAATCTGCCGTCCGAACGGTCACACTCTGTTCGTGCAAAACAGAGTTGTGCGGCGCATTCGTTTCTTAATCTTTCTGCATGATCATGATCAAAACAACACGTGCACCCTATTTTCAACCACAAAGAGTTACTACACTTCACTCTTATGCGCTTATTAAAACCATATACGAACATAGACTTTTGATCAGAACTGTTTGCCGCTACCACCGCTAGGGGATTCTTTTCGGCTTCTGGTTGGTCAAGAGAGCATGCCAAGCCCTCTTTCCGACTCTGCCGCACGCCCTGACTGCCAGCGCCTCCCATTGACCAAACTCTCTACATATACGGCTCTGCGTTGCCCTACATGTTTGGATAACGTACTGTTTCTGTTCACCTGGTAGGCACTTTCATTCTCTACATACACCATAGGTTGAAAATGCCCTGAATCATGGATCAAGCCTTGCAAGATGGAACTTCTCTCTAGGCCCAGCGCCTGGATCAAGTGTTGTCCCCCACCCCCTCAGGCCTTTCCGTCATATAAATTGTTGGTATTTCTTAAGAAAATGCGCATAGCCTGCCGACCACATCTTACATTCCAATTGTTAGTTTGAACCCGAGGGGGACCAAAACATTGTACGAGTTTAAATTACCGGAAGTTTCCTTTCTAGAAACATATAGGATGGGACCTGCATGTTAGCTTGAATTATTTGCGAGTTTGAATTAAGAGGGCTTGGACTAATGAGATTCCACTGTACAAAGAGTGTGGTTAATCCAAGGTTCAGATTACTCTGAAATATGTCGGGTGATTACTGAAAGGTTAAGATACAAAAATTTTGGTAGAAAGGAAATTAATCTCCTCAGTTTTTAATTTTTCTCGCCACTTTAACTGCTAGGCACGCTATGTCTGAAGTTTTTCAGAAGATCATGGCATCGGTCTTCGCCCATTTACACTTGGAAAGAAATGCTACCGGCAATAAGGGCTACGAAGTTTTCTTTGTGTTTGAAATTATGTACGCTAGTGTGTATCACTTGTTTCTCTTGTGCTACCTTTGCGCAAGCTTGCCGGCGTGCTCGCTTTGGCGAGTGAGGAAGAGCTAAACTCAATTGGACGTGGTGTGCTATCTTTTACACAAACTCGGTATTCCTATAGACCTTTTCATCTCGGCAGTTACCTGACTGGTAACTGCCGCATTGACACACATGGTGCCATAGAATGGCTTTAGTTTGGTTGGTTTTTGGTTTCAGTGGGCTCGCGGCTGTGTTATGTGCGATAAGAGACAAACCCGCCAATCGAAGTCTTGTCTTCTAGACAAGACTTCGATTGCCGGGTACCCCTTCATGGATTTGTGTAGACAGATGTTATTTGTTTGAACATGTACTAGTGATTCAAAACTATCAATACTATTGATAGTTTTTGCACCATTAGAGCGAACACAGATGCCGCACCGCCGCTCACCTCCCTTCCTCCTCTCCGCCCAAACTCCCGTCTTCATCATCACTGAAAACTGAACCAAGTTGGGATGGTAAGTGCTTGGGCTAGTTGGTGTCCCATTTGAAAAAAAGAAGAGAGCGACGCAAACTAGTGTCGCTAGACTATCGATAGTAAACAGTTGACAGTACTATCGATAGGTTTACGATAGTCGACTATCGATAGTACTATCCATAGCTTTTCGACAGTCGACTATTGATAGTAGTGTCTAGTTTTTCGATAGTCGACTATCGATAGTTTTTTTGCTATCGTGTCAGATTTCTGGCTACTTTCGCTACTATTGATAGTTTTGCATCACTAACAGGTACGCTCTTTCAGTGGCGTCGAGGGTAAATCCGGCATCGACATCGCTGCACCCGAGCGATTTCCATGATGATGGTCTCTTTTCAGCGTCGTGCATTATGTGCCTCGGGCACTTTTGCCAGGCACTCAAGTTTTCCTCGACACGTTTTTCACCCCGGGAGGCAACCCTGTGTGTCTAAATAAATTATTTGTAGTTTATTTAAATTCATAAATAGGTCAAACAAATGTTTCTACTACAATCATGATTCCCCCAAATAATCAAAAGTAACTTTTGGATTCGTTATGAAGGCAGAGCACGATGCTTTCAAGAAAGTGACTACTTGCATTGTCCATATTTGCAGTCTTCTTTAAGATCGTAAATGTGTAAATATACCTTGTGTTTCTTATTGCACAACTAACACTTAAGCAAATTTCCAGTGTCATAAATAATTGGCCTCTCAACCCTTGTCCGTCTTGGGGACCTCTCCATACTCTATATGCGCCAGTGCTAACGCAGATTCCTTTCCCCGACGGTGCATATATAAAATAATGTGCAGAAGTTGCACGCATAACAATGGCATGCAGTTAGGTAGTAAATATAAGTATCAGACAACACTTCACAAAGCAAGACAAAAAAAAAAAAAAAAAATTGGGGCTCCTATTCACACTGTAAAGACAGTTAGTTGGCCAGCGAAGCTGTGGTATCACTGCAACGATTGCCCACTGCACTATACCAAAACGTTTTTTGTAAAGACCCTTTTCTTTGCAAATGCCACCAGGCGGTGCTCCAGTTTGACGTCCCAGCGAACTTCCGATTCACAGAAAGAATGAACAAAACCCACCTTGAGACAACTGCCTGAAATGTCGATGAAATGTTTAACCACCAATTCTTCAGGTGAATGCCAAAAAAAAAAACGAAGAAATGGGAGATGCTGTAAACGACTTATTTTTTGCGGGCTCAATATTTCGCAATTCACGTTAAAGCTGAAGTTTTGGAATAATTCGCGGGTTCTAATTTTCGCGATGCGGTGGAATCTCAATATAAATTCCAATGTATTTACGTTTTACCAGAATCGTTCGCGTGACCTATTTTTTTACGAAATGTAGGCGGTTTGCAAAATTGTAAGTCCTTTACAGTATGTTAATAAGTTTAGAATATTTTGTAAACAAACTTTCCTCCTCCAAGACATTAAATTGTACAGCCGAATGCCCTCATTAAATCTCCAACCTTGTTGTCCGTGTAGCATTTATACTTTCTAGCATGGGTGACATAAGCAAGCTCGACAGACTTGTAAAGACTGTGCGATCAGAAGTCGCTTGGGACGCAAGCAGCAATTCATGTTTGTAAACAGCGAAAGGGCCTATGTGAAAGACTGTATGGTGCCGTTACCATGGCAACTTATGAAACCGCAATTTTTACCGAGAGACGCATGCGGGGAGCACTATGTGTTTCGCATTGTGCACGCCTAATCTATCATGTGGTTCCAACACTTGTGGTTTTCTTATTGAAAAATACAAGCGTCAAAACTACACGATAGAAGACAAGGAGCGCACAATGCTTTTCTGTCCACTACTGTTCTGTTGACAGACACAAAAGAAAACTTACCAACGAGTCAGATACAGCTTCGCTGTAAAATTGCGGTAAAACTCAACGAAAAAACGAATGCAACGTGTTGGCGAAGGGGAGGGAGGAGCGACGATTTGAAGCCACCTTATGGCGGCTATGTGACATGATTTCAAGATGGCAGCACCCATGTGACGGGGTGAAAAAAATCTATAGAATTTTAGAAATAAATTGAAGGGATGCCATACAACCACTTGCAGGGGGGATTGAATAGCTTGGGAGCCCAAGCTACTGTTGCATTGGTAGGAGACTACATTTGGAAGATGGAGTGGCGGTAGCTGGCTTCAATCGCTGTGTTGGCATGTGCATCTGTTGACATTTGGTGACCATAGCAAGCAGAATTTATTGTCCAGGAGGAGACTGGTGTGGCGAGATCAGGTGCATGCTTGCGCTCTTTTGCAGTGCTTTTCAATAAGGCCGCAGGACATGAACATAGAGTAGAGTTCTCAATAAGGACAATGTGGATGGCTGATATTTTCCAGCACCTAATATTTTGACAAGCCTTGCATGAAAAAAATTTTTTTTTCTTACCTGGAACATGGTGCTGAAGTATCAAACTGCCTCTGATGTTGTGAATGAAAAAAGATGCCACCAGAACATCTCTGTGCTAATAGTCGCCGACAAGATGAGAAACGCAGGGCATTTCTTAGCGCCCAGCCTCCAGCAAGCACTTGTCGCCTTTTCTCATGCTCTGTCTGCGTGTGCATTCTGGAGGCTCGCAAGACGCCAAAGCATTGCCGAATGTAGGAGGCTCCTCCCTGCAATTCTTGTTGTCCTACATTTAGTCCTCCAGGTCAGTACAAAAACATACAAGTCTATTCAACACCCGAACACGATTTGGGCGATATGTTAGATATAGTCCCTAACTGAATGAGAACGTCTGGGCGTGTCTTACAAATGCCCGGGCTTGAAGCATTGCCAAAAGTAGGAAGCTTCTCCCTACCGTCCTCATCTTGCGAGTTGCTAGAGTTATTAAACCATTTTAAATGTGGCAATGCTACACCATACAATAACGGTTTTTACAAAAGCAATTTCTGGTTGATCTTATCAAAAGCTTGCTATAAATCGAAATAAATATCGACTTGCTTCCAAGAAAGAAGAAATGGCACCG